ATCGAGAAACTTTTAATCAATAAGTTACTGTACATTTTATTAATGCAACTAGACATCAATATCCTTTAGAAACATTTTATCATCAAGTTTAATGATCACAATCACAAGTCGCCTAGATAAGAATTACACGAATAATTTTCATTGGTGATTTTATTACCGGTGGTACTAGCAATAAAGGAAAAGTTGTCTATTGACAATGATAGGAACATTTCATTTTAAATAAGATAATACAAAGTATATTATCAACAATTTTGATCTCAAATTTAGACAGATAACATGTATCGATGGATTCAATATCAATTTAATGTTTCAACATTGAACAACCTAGACACAAATGTAAATGACTTTGTATGATTATTTTTTTATTGTTAATTTTAATTTCGATTCGACTATATTAGTTTGAGTTTATTCGAATTTTGTTTCCCTAATTAATTTGTATTTTTGTTTATGAATTTTGTTGGATAAAGCTTAACAATTCCGAATTCACCAACCTTCCTTTTGCAATAAATATTTTGTGAAATGAAATAGTGACACAACCAATCTAAGACTACATTAAATAATTAGCATTGATAACAATTAGGTCGTGAAAAATCAAATGAATTATGCAAAGCCCACTATAAAGTAGAACATAACTTTATATAATTAATTATGAGTGTGTTTGTTTGGGAGTTTGGATTTTCAGTTGATATTTGAATAATCAAAATTTTGAATCGTAGTAATGATATGATTAGATATAAATAGTTGTTGATTTGATATAAATAATTGTTAATGTGACGTTTTTAATATAAAACTAATTTTTAGTATAATATAAAAAATAAATTGATTTGATCTTTTCGGAGAAGAAATTAATGAATAGTAAAATTTTGAAACTATTCCCCAAACAAATAAACCCTGAGAAGTCAGGGTCGTCCATTACCTAGAACTTTTAATTTATTGACCAGTTTTAGATTTTTTAATTAGTCAAATAGTTAATTTAAGTGTTTGACTTTTTCAAATAACTTATTGGACATATTTTAAGTTTTAATTTATCTATCCTCTCTCTCCTACGCTTTCTCTCTCAAAACATATAAACACACTTTCATATATAATTATATATATATTATATTTTGTATATTTATATATTATGTTGTATTATTATATCTATATTGTGTTATATATTTTATAATTTTTTTTTTTAGAATTCAACTTTTAAAAATATTTTTTGTTTGTATTTAAAAAGTTATCTTTTATTTTACAAATATATAAATATATTTTATATTGCAGTGTTTATTAATTATTTTGATATATTTTATTTACTAAATTATAATGTTATCTTTTATAAATTATAATTTATTAAAATTTATATTTACATATAAATTATTTTATTTATAAAATGTATAAATTTATTAAAATTAAGAAAATATAAATATTATTAATTTATTTTTATATATTTTTATTATATAAATTTTAAATAAAAATAAATAAAAGAGAATACATTATTAAAAATTATAAATATAATAAATAATAAAATAATCAATAATTAATAATAAAAATATAAAAAAAAATTATTAGTTTATGTTAACGCCATTATCAATTAAAAAATATTCATATTTTTCAAGAAAAATATATTATTTTTTTTATTAAAACTAAAAAATAATAAAAATAAAGATTTTATATCATTTTCAAATTTTCAAATATTCAATAACACAAAATTTTTAAATTTTTAAATCCAAATTTATACAATTGAATATTTTTAAAAAATAAAATATAAATGTTGTAAATTACAGTATTATTTTACTTATAAACACTTATGATCAGACAGTTTTATTAAACATTTTAATATAAACTTTTTATCAAATCAATTAATCAAACTAACTAATTGAATCAATTAACAATTAAAAACTATCTTATTACTTTTTATCTTTTATAATAGAAAAGCTACAAAAATTAATATATATTTTGTTACCAAAAATAAAAATAAAAATATTTTTATATGATGGATAAAAAAAAAAAAAAGTATGTTTTTATGTGATAAATGAGTAATAAAAAAAAATAGATGAACAGTTTTAATAAAACTTGTATTATCTCTGTTCTTTCAACACCATTTTTTAATTGTTATACAATATTTTATACAAAAGTAAAAAAAAAGTCAACAAAGACAATTATTCCATCTAAACTAATAATCTTATATTTTTGAAAGAATTTATCATACCATCCACAAAAAATTATTTCATTCAAAAACATTGTGTGAACGAAGCCTATATATTACTCCCTCCGTCCCATAACTATGTATCCTAATGCTTTTTACACGGATTTTAGAAATATTAATATTATATTAGGATATAGTATGAATAAAATAGAAATAACTAAAATAACTTTATTAGTATTGTGTGATATAAAAGTAATGACATTTGTGTAATATATTGTAAGTTGTAATGATATTTGTAATATTAGGTAGAAAATACAATTACTAAAAAAAATAGATACTTTATTACGAGATGGACTAAAATAAAAGTATTAATACTTTGTTATAATACGGAAACAATAGTAAACTCAATATATCTTCACCACACAATCCTTTTTAAATAGATATGTTCCTATGAATTGTGTGTGTGTGTGTTTTTTTTTTTAAAAAAAAATTGATATCTTATAATTTGTTTATTTTTAATTATAGTAAAAATAATCTTATTTAAATAGTAAAGTACCTCTCACCTTCACAAAATTATTCATTTTTTTTTTATTACTTTTAGAAATATAAAATTATCTTATAAATTTTTATTAATCGATAAAATATTACTTCATCCACCTTATATCTATCTATTTATTTGTTTTTTGTGCAGAGTTTTAAAAATATTAGTATTATATTGGGATATAGTAGAAATAAAAGTAAAAAGACTAAACTTTATTAGTATTGTATGATATAAAGGTAATGACATTTGTGTAATATATTGTAAATTGAAAAGGTATTTGTTGTTAGGTAGATAGTACAGTTACTAAAAATAAAAATAAAAATTTTATTATGGGACATACCAAAATAAAAAAATAAATAGTTTGTCAAGGAAAAAGTAGAGTATTATTTTTTAATCTATTTAAAAAAAATACATTGAATTTTGAGGAAGTGACTATATTTTTATAAAAAAAATTATATTAATAGTTGTATAGTAAAAAAAATAAAATTAAACTTAAAAGAAAAACAAAAACATCCAATAGAACGGTAAATGAATTACACGCATTAAACTAAAGATGATATAAGTTACAAAATTATTAGATATTAGTAGAGATTGATTATTATTTATTATTACTCTTCCTTAAAAATCTATCCATTTTTTTATTTTGGTCAATCTCGTAACAAAATATCAATTTCTTTTTTTTTAGTATTTGTACAATTTACCTAACGTTATAAATACCCTTTCAATTTACAATATATTACACAAATGTCATTATCTTTATATCATACAACACTAATAGGATTAATTTAATTTTTTTACCTTTATTTCTACTTTATCATAATATAATACTAATATTTTTAAAACTCCGTATAAAAAGTAATGAATATATAAATATGAAACGGGTGAAATATATATATATATTTTTTTAAAGTGATAGCAAGAAGACAAGTTCAACTCAAATAATGTTTAAAAAGTAAGGTTCTATAAAAATGATCAATGAAAATGATTGATACTTAAAATTTATCACGTGTCTTTAGTTTTTTATGTCCTATCGTTGTTATATTTCTTGGATTATTAATAAGTGGCATTCTTATTTTCCCTTACCAAAAAGCAATCTATGTGTGGTTCATAATTATTATTTTAATTAGGTATACAAATATAGAAGGCTTTTTAAAAGTTTGTTTGGTTGAATTTGAAATAAAAAAATAATACTATAATTTTTAATTAAATTAATTTTTTATATAAAAAGTAACTTCAAATAGTATAATATTTTAAATATATATATTTTTTAAAGTCTATTGTTTGAGAAATAAAATAATGAAATTCAAGAAATTGAACGTAACTATAAACAAATAACCCTATGTAGTAATAGGGTCCCCCACTCATACCCACATCTTTTGATTATACACTTTAATTTTTTATTTTAAATTTTAATTTTTTTTAATTTTAATTATATTAATTAGTTATTTTAATTTAATCTATAATTATTTATATTATAAAATAATTATTTTCATTAATATATTTTTAATTATTTCCTAATTATATTTATTGTAAATTCTTGCGTTTACAGTGACCCAAACAGACGAAAAAATAGTATTTTTTATATCATATCCCCAGCCCAAACTTGGGTTGTTTGGTACAAGGGGACATGGTATGCACGAGGCATGTTCCTTCTCTTTTTTTTTTTTTTTGTTTTAGATTTTTAAAATTATAAATATAAAAATAATTATAATAATTATAATTGAATAAAATATATAAAATATATACATTATTTTGCAAAAAATAAATTTTTTATAATAAAAATAAATAAAAATTTATAAATATATATAGATATAAAATACACATTTATATTATTATATTCATTATCATCAAATTAATACACGCTCAAACTTCTTTAAATCCAACTCAAACCCAAACATAAAAGAAACACATCAATTCAAACTCACTTCAAAATTCAAATAAAAATCAAATTCAAACTCAAACCCAAATCCAAATTTTCACAAAACTCCCTAAAAAAATATTAATGTAGCTAAGTAAAACAGTACTCTCTATGTGCCATATAATTTGTCTCTATGTTTCTATTTTTTATTTTTATACATCCAATATAAATTTGTTTTTTTTATTTTTAAAAATATAATTATATATTTTAATCACATTTTAAATTTTAATTAAATTATTTAATTATTTTAATTTTAATTTATAATTAATTTTATTATACAATAATTATTTTTCCTTATGTACTGTTTGATTACTTACTAATTATCAGGGAGTACATTTCATTCGTACGCTAAGAGTTTAGAGAAATTGAAAACCCAAACAAATACGAATACGGCCTTAGTCCAGTGTCGCGTTATATTGTGAACCTCGTCTGTATAAATTCTACGGGAAGACAACACCACAGTACACTTGAGAGCCAAAGCAGCCGAGACGCCATGGCTGCTCCTGCGCCTGTTTCTTCTCTGTCACCGCCGGAGGTGCCCATGGAACTACACGCCGTCAATCGGAAGAAGCTTTTAGATTCATTTCGAGGCCACCTATCTGCGTCTTCTAGCCCTCTCCAAGGCTTTGTGTTTCTCCAGGTGCAGAATTTCTTTCTCAAATCCCCCTTCCTTAGGATTCTATTTGCTCCCATTCATGGAATTTCGATGTCTTCGACTCGCGTTTTAGGGCGGGGAAGAGCAGAATCGGCACGACACCGACCATGTTGAATTGTTTAGGTACTTGTCATATTAATGAATGTATTTTGCTTAATTCTAAGTTGCATTTGTATATATCTTAGCGGATGGGTGTTTGTTTAAGCAAAATTTTCGTATAAAGAATTTAAGTAGTTGAGACCGTACCTGGAAGGAGTAGTAGTCACCATTATTTGATTGATTCTGTTTTGATAGAAGTTTTTTTTTTAGTAACAGTAAAAATTTACAGGATACTTTTGGAGGTGTTTGTACTATTTATAAACAGTAATTTTTTGAAAAAAAATATTCCATCAAATATCTATTCTCTCTGTCAAACATCATATTAAATACAAACTTTTTTACTATTTCTAATTTTGTTTGTTTGGGTGTAGTTTGAAATTAATTTGAAATGAAATGTTGATTAGAATTTTTGTTTAAATAGTAATTTGATGTGAGGTTTTGTAAAAAAAAAATGGTATATTTTTATTGGGAATCGTGTGGAATAAATAGTATTAATTTCGATCTTAAATCACAACCAAACACACTTGTATAATCTGTATGTAAGTATTTGATGTTATGTCATGAAAATATATATTTTATATGATTTTTTTTAAAAAATGTTACTGTTGAATAGTACTCCCTCCATCCAAGAACTATAGTCTTAATTGGATGGACACGAGATTTAAGGAATATAGTCTATAAAAAGTATATAGATAAAAGACTTTTTTGCCTTTGTGAGTGTATTGACGTAAAAAGGTAGTGGCAATTATGTAATAAAAATGAAAAAGTAGGGTTAGTACTATCGTGATATGATTATTTATGAAAATAAGACTATTGTTTTGGGACAGATAAAAATAGTAAACAAGACTATTGTATTGGGACGGAGGGAGTATCAGAAGTTACAAAAGTATCTATGTAAACAAAGCGCCTATTTACAACATTCAGCAAAAAGGAATATAATGCAAAGCGCCAAAGGGCATAAATATTTATTTGAAATCATACCTTGTAGATATTTAATCTATCCATTCATTAAGTACAGGGGTGTGTTTGTTTTGTGTTTTGGCTTGAAGAAAATTTTTTGACGTAAGATATAGAGAATTGTGTAAATAATATAAAAATAATGAATCATGTGTTGGAAAATTTTTGGAGAAGAAACAAACCCCCGGCTTCTTACCAGCCTTTTCCTGATATATTGGCCAACAAAAACCTCAAGTGACCCACAAAACTCATTTCTACTTAATTCTCATTCAGTGGTGAAATCTCAGAAAGAAATTGACCCCATCTATTATTAGAACTTCCTCTGGGTTTTTTTCTTTTTATTAATGTATTTATGGGAATTATTACTAATTAGAACTTCTCTGTTATTATAGGCCACACTGGATTTCTTTGTTCAGAATTCCTTGTTTGTTGCAGTGATATTGCTAATTATATTGACAGAAAGCTCTAACGACAGATAAACAGTATACTGTAATTTGTACACGTCTTGGTTCACTTGGAGTCATCTTGAAAGAAAGTGATTAATTTTGAAGTTACTCTTAATAACAAGCTGAAAATCTTTGGTGATAAATGAGTCATGTTTTTGTCCTCATTTTCTTTTAGAAATTTTAGTTTCAGATCTAGATTCCTTTTCTTGTAACTTCATTTCTTTTCAAGTGCAATGGAAGTATAGGTAGCACATTATTACTTCTGTATTTATGATTAACTGGTATTCGTGACATGCCAGGCAGGAGAGCTATTTTGCATACTTGTTCGGAGTGATAGAGCCTGGGTTTTATGGTGCTGTTGTAAGTTCATTGAATGCTATCTTTAAATTTATTATCAGATTTTTAAAATTTTTATAATGTAGATAATTTCATTTTGACAAGATCTATTGGAGCTTCTTAAAAATTGTTGAAAGCATCCCATGAAGCTAACTTTAATATATATGTATATATGCACATAGATACTCTGTCTTGTTTTTTTTCTAGGATTGCATATATTTTCTTTGTAGTTTCTTATTCTTCTGCATTTTCCACTAAGTAAGTTGTTGGTAGAAATTGATTCAATGTGGAGCTATAGTATGGTGCCGAATTTTGATGAGAAGGGGTGTTCACTTTTGTGTTTTGGATGTAAGTGTTTTTTTTATGTTAGGTATGGGGAATTGTAGGTAATATAAAATATAATGTTTTGTACTATATTATTGACTTTTTATGAGTGAATATAGCGTATATATTATATACATTGTATTAGTGTGTATATATTTGTTAACTTTTTGGCACTATTCTTCGGGAATTGTATCAACAAAATATTGGTGGGTGAACACACCCGCATATTAAGGTAATTTTGTAATGAAACTTAAATTATATTATATATTTCACAAGATTCAAACATCTTGTGGGAGGATATCACAATGCACATATAGTGTTTGCACCCCAAATTGTTTACTATTATTTCTAATTTAGTATGCTTAAATTTTTTCTGAACTTTTCTTTATTTATATAAGATTTTTCTTCTTGTATCCTCAAATAAAATTAATAAATTATTCCAAACATAAAGCAAGGGGAAAATTATTTTAAACCACCAAAAAAAGCTAGCCAAAAGTAAAGTGACAAATATAATGGGACGGAGGGAGTATATGATACATATATGGCGAATGCCATGCTGTGCATTGTGCACCATGTACACATTAATGTTATTGATATTGGAAGGTGATATTATTATAAATTTATAATTAGAAAATGTGTATACTATTCATACATATTTACAAGAAAAGGGCGTGTTTTACTGAATCTAGTGCTATAATACTAGAGTGATGCTAAAATAGTGTGGTTAGTAGTACTTGACTGATGTTAGTGCTTGTGTTTATCATCTTGTAAGGTAGTAGATATCTTATTAATCCATGTCTATCAGATCTTAAATTTCAATTTAGTATTGTTTCTGAAGAGATTATATAATCTATTTCCTATGATGCATGTGCAAGCAACATACTGATCAAGGATTCTAGTCCTTTGTAATACAATACCAACTAGGATGACCGAGATTTGGAAGGCTCTAATATATTAAGATTTTTTTTGTATGCCAGATTCATAAATTTACAGATCACCCTTGTCTTGTGAAAAATCATTTTATGTAATGATGAAAATTACATTTGTTCAAGAAAATTTTAACAAAAAATGAGCTTAATGCTTTTGTTTAGAATATAGCAAATGGAGAATCAATACTCTTTGCTCCAAGATTACCGGCTGATTATGCTGTGTGGCAAGGAGAAATTAAGCCATTATCCTACTTCAAGGTGACTGCATTTATATTCATTTACATACAAAATACAAAAAATTTAATTGCTCGAGGATACTTTAGCATGTATTATTTTGCATGGATCTGTAGGAAAAATACATGGTTAACTACGTATACTACACGGATGAGATCTCAGAAGCTTTGAATAATCAATTTCAAGGATCTGGCACACCATTGCTTTATCTCTTGTATGGGCTCAACACCGACAGCAACAACTATTCCAAACCTGCAGACTTTGAGGTTCTTGCATCTGTTTTGCTATCATTTTCTCACAGAAGTGTAAAGAATGCTGCTTTCTGTTTGACTAGATATGATTGACTGACGCTCTAGTTATATGTGATTAATATAACTTTCTTCTTCTTTCCTTCTCATATTTTGAGGTTACATTTTCTCAGGGTATTGACAAGTTTAAGACTGATCTAAATTCTCTGCATCCAATTTTGACTGAATGCCGAGTTGTAAAGTCAGAGCTAGAGCGTGCAGTCATCCAATTTGCCAATGATATCAGCTCTGAAGCTCATATTGAGGTTGGAATTCTCGAACTTATTCCAATTACATGTTTTCTACAAATTTCAGCCTATTATATGCATCTTAGGTATCTCAAAGGATGTGAAGAAATTTGATGTATTTTATAATGAAAAGAAAAAAAGCATGATTACCTGCTGTTAGATATTAGAATGAACAATTTTCTCCTTTTTCCTTCCCTTGATGGGGCAGGGGGGGAACCATACCAGTACTTCGCTTCAACATAAAGTCCAACTTTCAGCCATAAAAATTGATAAGTTCAGTGATTTCAAGTTCTATAATTTTTGCAGTTGTGTCATTTAACATACACTATGATCAAGTTTTCTCCAAATTATAGGTTTACACATAGATAAAATATGCATTTATCAAATTTGAATGGGTTTCTGTAAATTGGATCTGGAAGCATAGGTTAAGATTCACAGTTGTATCATAGCTCCACCAATAGTTTTCTATCATGGGATCTGGGAATATATATGCATATATAATATATATATATATCCATCTTGATATTAATATATAGGAAGCACAGTGAAAAAAGTTGATCGGTTATTTGTGCACATGATTTTCTTATTTATGTGTTGTAGCTCATATGATGGACTTGCTTAATCTGCTATTAATTTTTCATCAGGTTATGAAAAAGGCCAAAGTAGATATGTTAGAGTATCAGTTAGAAAGCTTGTTTCTTCATCACACATACATGTATGGTGGCTGTAGGCATTGTTCGTATACATGTATCTGCGCAACTGGTAACAACAGGTATTGTTTTACCTTTATTCCCTATATGTTTCCATACTCCTCCTTTTTCTAATTACTAGAAGTATGTCATATGTTTGATCAAGCATTTTCTGTAAAATTCATTTTCCTACGCAATGAGTTAATGTTCTGAAAATTTTTATACATGTATATATATATATACATAACTTATTATTAACAAACGGTTTGAATTCTGATTTTAGTTCTGTGCTCCATTATGGTCATGCAGCGGCTCCCAATGACAAGGTATATTAACTAATTTGTCTGTTGGTCAAAATTTATTGTTAAACAATTAGCTTGTTATGTGCTGTCAGTGATGCTGAGTTGGTTTTAGCTTATCAGGAGTTATAATAAGGCTTGGATTGGTATCTAGTCACAGAATGAGATTATGCTTGGATATTTATTGGAATTTATTGCTCTTAAGTGGAAATTCTTAAAGAAAGGTGTCTACCTTGAACACACGAATGAGAACCGCTCAAGAGTGAACATGGTTATGCTATGAATTCAATCATAAATTTCATTTAGATGGTAGGTAGCAAGGGGGAGCAGTGATGCTTTACAAACAGTATAAATTCAAATAATAACATAATCTAGCAGATATGCCTAAATAATAACCACCAAACCTATATAATCTTAACTGAAATATCTATCTAAAATGTATCTCAACAAGAAGCTATTGAGGGATGGTATACATGTGCATGTGCCAGTGCTTCTGCATTTGGGGCAAAGGAGGATTAGGAATGATGAAAAATTGGGTAGGTTGGTAGGTGAAACATGGTGAAGTTTATGCACAATTTTAATATCTTCGAGATGGCTTCATTATGTTTTTATAATTTTAGCATTATGATTCTACCCCAAGGATAAGGGCATGATTTGGTAGATACATAAGCTATTTGGTTTATAATGATACATTTGGATTTCTGATAATGAAGGGGAGGAAGTTTAATATAATTACTTTGGTGCAAGGTAATTTAATTCAGGAAACAAATTGAATTTATTCTTCATATAATGATTTTGCTTTGGTAACATGTTAAAATTTCTTTTCTTCAGTTCCCTACAGGTTCTCGCAAAAAGTTCACTGTTAGGAGGTAGAGCTTTAGAATTAAGGCCTGTTAGGTTATAAAGAAATTTGTAGGACGAATAAGTCTATGATTAATAATATTCTAAGGATCATAGGAGTCCTTTAGAATTAGATTTCCATACTCAGTATATGTCCATTAGAATTTGGTATCTATTCTTATAAATAGTTGTTAGCAGGATTTGAGATGGCTTATTAGAAGATTGTTAGTTTGTCCTTTTGGCTCGAATAGAGGGAACATCTTGGTAGGGCAGGAAGATTGTTAGTGGAATTTGTTTGAATCCTCCTGTGGTTGAGCATGTTCCACAATCCACAGAAAATCCAATGAAAGGAATGGGAAAGAGAAAGCATTTGTGTTTCCATATGAGGCATCATTTTACAAATAGTCTTTCAATGTATTTCTAGTGAATCTCTTAGTTGAGGCAACAAAATGGGATTCATTTTTTGAATAAATTTTCTCCGTACATGAATGTTCTGTATGTTATTGTTTGATACTGCTGTCTGGCAGGAGTTCTTTTTTTGGTATTATATGTATACACATACATATATTTATATATACACTGCCAAGAATAGATATTATATGTATTAAGAGATAAGGTTGTTACAGATGAAAACAAAGTTCTTAATTCTAACGTCTTAATACCTGTTTTTTTAGATCTTAGCAGATGGGGATATGGCGTTGCTAGACATGGGAGCTGAATACCATTTTTATGGTTCTGATATAACATGTTCCTTCCCTGTAAGAATGTGTATCAATATAAGCAGGATATAGCATTTGCTATTGACTTAACAGTCTCTGACATTAATACTGGCAAATTTGATTATGTATGCAGGTTAATGGGAAATTCACACCTGATCAATCCCTTATATACAATGTAAGCCTATTATTAAGTAAGGAAAATGAAAATCTTAAATAATATATCATTTGCAGCATTTTGGGGGATGTTATGTCAATGTCTTTTAAAGTGTTTCCTTTGTTTTTTTGTTAAGAAGGCTCTTGATTTTGTTACTATGGCCTAGAAATGACTACAAAGACAATGGAAGATCTTTGAAGAACTTCATATCTCAAAAACCTCCATAACTATTTGATTTTCTCAGCCCTTTTTAGCAAATTGTATTTTTTGAGACGCATGAGATTAACAATGTTGTATAGTTTTTCAAAATTAACCAGTTATCATATGTCAGTTATGATCTTATATATTAGTTTAGTTTATCTAGTTATACTGATACAGTTTTTGAGTGATGATTGTTAGAGATACATCTCTCTTTTCTCTGTCGGATGCATCATTAGATAATCTGCTACAATGTGGTAAAAACTAGAAGCTTGAGCAATTAAAAGGATTCATATGCAATGGTCTTTTTGTGAAATATTATAGTTAATAAGTTTTCCTTCTCTGATATCCTAATTTTAGTGGATTCATAATCCAAATTGTATATGCAATGTCATGTAGGAAATAGGGTTTTTAGTTAATCATATCTTAGAAAGATATGCATTCATGCTGCATGTTTGATATTCCTACATCTGCAGGCTGTCCTTCGTGCGCATAACGCGGTTATATCCAGCATGCGACCGAGAGTAAACTGGGTTGATATGCACAAGTAAGAATCTCTACTTTGTAAGCTATGAGCATTTTATTGGCAATTGCACTGTAATGGAGGCAATATTTTCTTAGAAAATCAAATTATCATTGTACTTTGATGCCATGTTTTGTTTGGTATTGAGTTTTTAATGAGGAATAAAATTTTACGGAAACAAAATAAATAAATAAACCCTGTATTTTGGTCCTTATTTTTATTTTTCATATATTTTTTAAAATCATGTTGAGGCGCGTTTTCTCTCTTTCTCTGTAAATCTTACAGTTCCATTTATTTTATCTCCTTTTCCATCTGTGGATGGACATCTGTATTTCTCCTTAACTAATATAGCTTCTGAAAGATTTGTCCTTGTCTTGAATGTTTGTACCCAGCTTTTTGGTATTATTCTCTGTAATGATCTGAGGTTTTATATGATATATTTGGGTGCAATTCATTCCAGGTTGGCTGAAAAAGTTATTCTGGAGTCATTAAAGGAAGGAAATCTTCTTGTTGGGTATGTATGTTTCTTTTAGTTTGTTTCTTGACTTAGCTGCACACTGCAAATAGTGGTGCAGAACTAAATTCTTTTTCTTATTCTCACTAATGGCTGTCGGATATAAAAAGTGATGTGGACACGATGGTTAAAGAGAGAGTTGGTGCTGTTTTTATGCCCCATGGCCTTGGACACCTTCTGGGAATTGATACTCATGATCCTGGGGGTTATTTACAGGTTGAATTTTGGCATATCTTGGTTAATATTGTGATTTATTTTATTGATCCGCCAAATTTCTAGCTAATTTTACTTATAAGAAATAACCTTCTCCTCTAGGGAGCAGAAAGACCCACGGATCCTGGACTGAATTCTTTGCGCACAAGTAGAGACCTCTTGGAGGGAATGGTATGTAATTGACAAACTAGAATCTGTTTGAATAAGTATTGTCTAAGCCAATGATAATATTTAACCAATTCATTTTTCATTCTCCATTTGTACCTTCTTGTTTGGATCACTGCATTGTTATCCATCGATTAATATATCAAAACCCATAAATCATGTTTTGCTATTATAGAAAGTTAGAAACTCATATCTATTTTTCACCTTTTTTATATTAACAATGCCGAAACTCATTTACTATGTCCTTACTCAGAGAAACTTCATTTCCATCATTAATATTGGCCTTTTGGCCCTATTTCATGTCAAGTTTCAGTAGAAATGCAGCCATAATCACTCCCTGGTTTTCTTCTGACAAGTGATATAAATTTTCTTTGATCAATACAGGTGATTACTGTGGAACCCGGATGTTACTTCATTGATGCATTGTTAATTCCTGCAATGGAAGAAAGCTCGCAAACATCAAAATATTTCAACCCGGAGATGATCAATAAATTTCGAGGGTTTGGTGGGGTTCGAATTGAAAGTGATGTGGTAAATTTCTTACTTTTCTTGATTATTGCCAATTCATACTCCAGAAAATTCCCAAAAAGATACTCGTTGCTTGTGCCTTTTTATCCTCACACCCTTCAAGCGTTTTCATTTATGATTCTTGGATATATATAGTAATCCCAATATACCTCTAATCAATCATTGCAAGCATCGTGAACGTTTCTAACCAAATTTTATGTGCTATTCTTTTTGTTTGTTTGGGAAGCTTATTTTTGTTTTCAAAAAATCTTCTCACCCTTAATTATTTGCTTTTATCCGTGTGTTCATGTTTAATATGGTCCATATCCCACCTTACTATATATATATATATAGTGGTGGTTAATATGTTAATTAAGGTATATAGTTTTATCGGAACTGTGCTGACAGCATATAGTAAACATACATATGGCACACATCATATTTGATTTCAATACAAGATTACATGCTAATATAGTACAAATGCATATATTACATAGTAATATTACTTATGCTACAATCGATATAGAATATTAAGTAACAAAACATGATAATGATGCACACAGTACATGTTTTAATCGCAATCGTGTATTGTTAAGTTGGAACCCCGGATCCCTGTCTTAACATGGTATCAGAGCCATGGTGTCCGTATTGAGTTTGGATCTTGTATGGATTTTCGAGATTATCATCTCGAGGGGGGAGTGTTAAGTATCCCACATTGGATGTAATGTTGGGATTCCCCTACCTTATAAGGGATGAAGGGCTACTCCACTTACAACCAATTGGTTTTAAGTTGGAACCCCGGATCCCCGTCTTAACATGTATTGCGTATATCATCACCATATGCTGATAAACACCATAACCATCACACGTACACACACACACACTCACACTCTCTCTCTCTATATATATATACATAATCTTGAACTTGTTTGTTTACATGTGTATTTTGTGTACCTATCCAGTGTGTCACCGCGGAGGGTTGTGTGAATATGACCAAGGTTCCTCGGGAGATATCCGACATTGAGGCAGTGATGGCCGGCGCTCCTTGGCCTATTGAGAAGTCTAATGTTCCTTACATGAATGGGAAAACTTAAGGTATCAATGCATTATATTGGCTGACTAAACGTGACTCATGTCTTCTCCGTATATACTCCTCCGTAAACAAGATATTCGAATGTTTGGTTTGCGAATAAGCCGTCTATATATTCGGTTGTATATTTTGAATAAAGGCTTACTGCCATGGATCATTCCTTTTGAAGGGTGAGATCCTTTGTGATCCTTGCTGCATTTTTCTATGTAATCCAGCTTTTATGTGCAAGGCTCCCGACCATGAATGCAATACCTGTGTGTTGTGTGCTATTAATCATGCATACGTATTCTCTTTTTTTTCTCAAAAACTAATTAAAAACATTTGCTCTCGACTAAAATAGTATTCGGTTCCAATTCAAAGTAATCTTTTAACTATTTCTGTTTGTCCTACTTCAAAGTATCTCATTTCTATTTTTAAAAAAATAATTATAGATTAATATCAAAATATGTTAATTTTTGTTTAAATTACGAATATATCATTACATATAATTATTTTATACATAGACAAAAATGTCAAATTTTTACACTAAGTAATAAAATATTATTATTTTTTAATATAGTACTTTGATTAAAGATGAGGAAGTATATAACAAAGTTATTACGGCCACATCCAAGAGAAAGGGAAAAAATATAATAAAATTAAAGAATAAAAATATTTGTGTACATGGAAAAGAGAGAAGGCCAAGACGATGGGGGGCTCGGGATGGGCATTAAAGCCTGAGTGTGGCCTCTATTAAAATATAAAGTCTGATTTGGCCTACGAGATTATTTAAAAATTTGTATTTAATATTTTTTATTTTTTTATTTTTCAAACTTAAAATTTTTTTAAAAAAATAAATATAATTATTTATTATATATAATAAGTCAATTAAAATAAATTAATTTTTTATTTTTTATTGTCACCGAATATAATTTTTATGAATTATAAATAATTAAAAATATAATAATTGTGTATATTAGATAAAAAAAAATATACTATATAAATATATAAACAGACCGACCTGATAAGCTAAAAATATTTTTATTTTTTTTAATTCTAAGCTTGTTCTATACATTTAAAAAAATATATATATTTGAATTTAACATTGTTAATAAACACGTTAGGCCAAATAAAGTCGTATGCAGACAGACCAGACTGTAGGCCTTGATAGACGGTCTGCCCTACCGGCCGCTTTGCTCCAACAATTCACAAGGGAAGGGAGAAAATTAGCAGGACAATTTTGGGGAAGGAAACGATTTTTGAGGATTTGAAATTTGGGTTGTGTTCACATATGGATTGAGGACCTATTTGTAATTTTTGGTGAATTAATTAATTTCAGATTTTAAAGAAGAAAAGTAATAAATTGCAAGATCCACATGTCACAATTTCGGTGGTTAGATTAAATAGACAAAATTAATCATCGATTCAGAGCATATACAATGGTAGGATGAAAAAATGTCATATATTTCTTATATGGCAATGACATATCACAAGAAAAGAGAAAATATGGATGAAAAAGTTAGACTGAATAGACAAAGTTAATTCTCGACCGAGAGCATATAAAATGGTGGGATGAGAAAATGTTATATATTCCTTGTGTGGCAATGACATATTACATGAAAGAGAAATCATCGGTAAAAAGACACACAATGAAATGAATTTAATGTCTTGTGTACAAATTTAAGGTGAAATAAAAAAAGTTGGAAGCTTCTCTACTTCACTGGGCTTGGTCGTTGGCTTTCTATTTTTCTATTTTTATTTTTTTTTTTGTTTCCGTTACTATTTTATTGTGTAAGATATTTTAACATATTTGGTAAAAAAAAAAAATAAAAAAAAAAAAAATAAATCAATTTTTGGTGAGAGACCCTATATAAGAAATTCATTGTCTACTCCGAGGATCCGGTGCTGCGTCATAGTGGCTTATTGTCGTCAAAAGAAATCTTATAATTTTTATTATTATTTTTTAGATAAATTGTTTTTTAGTCCCGTAACTGGATTCATTTATCATTTTAGTCTCGTAAGTGGAGCCTGTCACAAACTAGTTCCATGAGTGAAAAATTTTCGCTGTTTTAGTCCTCCGGCACCAGAGACGCCCGCGTGGCTCGCCGGAGGTGACGTGTTGGCCAGGTGTCCCGCCGGGTCAACAACACCTGGCGGACACGTGGATTTATTATTTTTTTAATTTTTTTTAATTGAACCAAATAAAAAAATACAAATAAAATTAAAAATAAGTTTTAAAAAAAATTAAAAAATAAAAAAAATAATAATAAAAAAATCCACGTGTCCCCCAGGTCAGCGACACCTGGCGGACACGTCACCTCCGGCACCAGATGACTAAAACAGCGAAAATTTTTCACTTATGGGACTAGTTTGCGACAGGCTCCACTTACGGAACTAAAATGATAAGGGGTCCAGTTACGGGACTAAAAAACAGTTTACCCTATTTTTTATAGTATGCTTCCCTTGTTGTTGTTGTTTTTTTTTTCTTTGTTGTTTTACTTCACTGACGTGAGGTTTTTGACAAATAAATGGTCATATGGTTTTGAAATATTCTACACAATAGTGTAGGTTTGTTAAGTTCCGGCACATTCGAGTTAGTTTTTGCATGATATTTATAATTTACTATAGCCTTAAATCATTCTTAACCAATGCATCTCTCAAACGTTGGTTTGTTTTCTTCATCCCGGCCGCGTTTTACAGAGTCTGTTTATTATTGTTGAGATTAAATCTCGAGATGTTGCGCGAAACATGTACTTCCTAGATTGCTGTAAAAATATACGATACGAGAAAATGTTAATATATTCTCCAGATAAGTGTGTGCTTCATACCCAGGCTTGATTAAACTTGATCGAACATATGTCTCCGGCCCCTCTTGTTTCTCAAATCAAAATTTATTTTTATGGTGTTCATAATGAGAAGTTGTTAACGCCCTGAATTCAAGATTGGCGCACCTTGCATCCAAAACTCAAACACCATTGGAAACATGTCTTGCGCATGAAGAATAAGGGAACTCAAATTGGGGATTGGGAAATGTGGTGCGCGATGAAAAATTATGTTGTAATTTATAATTGATATTTTTATAATCGCTGCAATTATAAATATTTTATTATCTTATCTTTCATACTACTCTTTGTATGGTTGGTAATCTAAGTACATTGTCAATCTAAAATAGAAATATTACCACTATATGCTTATATGCTATAGCTTTATTTGTTTTTTTCTTTTTTTTTTTGTTTTTTTTTCGTTCTTAGGCGTTGTATCGATTTAGGTTTGAATGAATTAACTTGCAATATTGTTATATATTATGATATGGTACTTCTGAAATTTTTTAATGCAAAAAATTACTTAAGGAAGAACATGTCCAAGCCTAATATTTTAGTTCATATCTCTTTCTATTTCAAGGTTTTAACAAAAGGACAAATGCAATTTTTTATTTTTTTTTATTTTTATGATGATGATCCTTTGTTATCTTACTATTGTTGCTTTTAATCTACTACGCTATTGGTATATTTTTATAACCGAGCGGATCAATCTCAAATCAATCTGAAATTTATTGTAGGTATTAATTGACAATAAAATATGTCTTACTCTAACATTCATTTCGTTCTTTAAACATTTATCTATTTTTTTCATTTTGGTTCGTTCCATAATAAAGTTTTTTTTAGTAACTATCGTCTGCTTAACATTACAAATACCATTTCAATTTACAATATATTACACAAACGAGATTACATTTACATCATACAATAGTAAGGTTAATTCAATCTTTTTACCTTTATTTCTACTACATCATAATATAATGCTAATATTTCTAAAATTATGTGAAAAAATAAATTAATAGATAGATATAAGACGGAGGGAGCATATAATACTATAGCAATAATTTTTTTATTTTCTTTATTATATATATAAATAAACTCAATTTATTACATAACACTTTTACATAATGTATTTGTTAAACTTATATCAATATCCATCAAGATTATAAATTTCAAAATCAAACTTACAAATCCAAAGAACATAATATCTCAAATTAGTTTTAAAATTTAAATCCAATTAATATCTAAATCAAATTTTACCAAATATTTTCCAAATAAACATACCCTTAAGAGCAAGCACAATGGACCACGCAAGAAAAACCTCAATGCAATTTACACGTAGGTGATTTGTAGATATTTTAATATGATCATAAAAAAATTGTATAATGACATTTAATAATTCATAATGTATTTTTAAAAAATAAAACAAAAAAAAAAAAAAAAGAAAAAAAAAAAAGCAATGCATTGGCGGAGTCTCATGCTCGAGGCACCATCGATACTAAAAAACTTAGAAATTGGAAATAGAGACCAACTAAAAGGTTCAACTATATATATGCTCTAATGCATGTTTTCTTTTTCTTTTTCTTTTTTTTTTTTGTCTTTAATTTAAATAGAATTTAAAATTTTACAATTTAAATTTAAATCATATTTAATATACTAATATTTTATAAAATAAAAAAATTAAATAGTGAAAAATTAAATTACATTATAAAAAAAACTTTTTTAATTCTTATAAAAATTCAAAATATAAACATAAACAAAAAAATCTTTGTTTGAAATTTGAATTTTAAACAATAAACTTCTAAATTATATAAATGTATAATATAATATAAATATATTTTGATATAAAATATAAATTTAAAATAATATAAAAATTAAAAAATACTCTCTTCTCTCAGTCAGTGAAATTTACTCGCATCTTTTTAATATATCCGTTAAATTTATCCCAAAATAACAAATTTAGTATTTAACTATTATCATTTTATTCAATATTTATTTACATCACATCTCACTATTTTTTTTAACATTTCAGTCTCCTTAATTTTTTTTTTTTTAATTTCTAATTTATTTTAAAAAAATAACGCTAAATTATCTTTTTACTTTTACTATCTTTTTTTTTATAAAATATTATCTTTTAATCTCCGTTACCAATCCAAATCTTCTAATTTTTAACAGCAGGAGGGAGTAACAACATTATTAATGGATTGACAGAAGTAAGCTTATACATATAAACCCTACCTCCATTTCCAGCCTGACACCCGCTCCGCTCCCCGCTCTTTCTAAAACCCTAACCCTAGCCCCATCCCTCGGATTCCAGATTCCCGAAGGGTTACCATGGATTCTTCAAGCAACCCCGACAGAATTGACGCCCAAAACTTGCCCAATCAACCATCGAAAATCAGATTTTCATATGACGACGATGAAGAAGCGGCAACCGAGAGCTCCAATGTGGAGGAAGATGCTGCCATGTGTGAGCCTGAGGAGTCCTTTGCTGCTGGCGATGATAAGACAAGTGCGGATTATTACTTCGATTCTTATTCCCATTTTGGTATGGACTCTTTTTCCATTATTGTTTTTCAGCTAGTTATGAATATGAATATATATATATATATATATGTATATATATAGCGAAATTTCTGAGGGAAAGCTGGGCATTTGCTTTTATAATTGGAGGATTAACGAATGTTGTGACTTGTGTTATTCTGTTATGTTTATAAGTAAAAACACAGCCTTTTTTAATAATTGATTACCATTTTATGTTTCATTGTTTTTCAGGTATCCATGAAGTAAGTGTTCAAAGTTGGAAGCTGCTCCATTGCATGTTTCGTTTTGTTTTGTTGCACTTAGTCTGTGATTTGGAAAAGTCCTCTTTTCACATCTATTTGTTTGTGTAAGATTAATGTTCTTTATCTTGTTGCATCCCAATACAGGAAATGTTGAAGGATGTTGTCAGAACTAAGACATACCAAAATGTCATTTATAAGAGTTCCTTCCTTTTTAAGGATAAAGTGGTTCTTGACGTGGGGGCGGGTACAGGAATTCTTTCACTGTTTTGTGCCAAAGTTGGAGCCAAGCATGTTTATGCGGTAATGTAACCAGCGAGCTTGCTTATTTTTACTTGTGTTTGCTTATAGGAATTAGGATGCAATTCTATTTTACACATTGCTGGATAACGTGTAATTTTTGGTGTATGCATGTAATTTTTGTACCTTTTATAAAAATGCTTTTATGTTCTGGCTTGTTGTTAATATTTGAGGACTTTAACTCCAGATGCTAAGTAGCTACATTTCACCTTTGTGATAAGAAAAAAGGAGACAATATGTCTTATTGTGTGAGCGCAAATGTATGCTCGTATGGGAGTTTGTCTTCAAAGTTTTTAAGTATAATCATTCTAGTATTAGTTTAATTGTGAAGATTAAGATTGATCTGATTAGTTAGAACACTTGTATCTAGTTATAAATCAAATGAGTTTTTACTAAGCTAATTAGATCATGTTATTAATGCACTCATATCTATGTGACTCAACTTATACTCTTTGTCAGTTCCTTTTATTCTTACATAGGATTAGAGGTTACAAGCATCAAAACTAGTTTCTGTTGCAATGCTTGCTTAGGCTCTGGTTATTTGATCTTGCCATTTACAATATATATCTAGTGCTTATGCAGTTTAGCTTAATCAGTCTATTAATGTGTGCAAAGATCAAATAATTACTCAAAAGGAACAAATCGCATGAATTTGATAAGACATGGGTATCATCCAGGTTAATGATCACTTTAACTATGGAATAATATTGATCACTTTAACTATGAAATGATATGAATGATTAGTTGTTGAACTTCCCACCAAATTTATTTGGATATGTTTGGTTGTTTACTTGTGATTTTACACTCATATTTTACCATTCAATCTACCAAATCCCCTAAGAAAAAAAAAAAAACAATAATAATAATAATAAAATCACATCTAATACCAAATTTTCATTGAAAGCTTCGCATCTAACAATTATTTCTCCTTCAAAACATCACAGCACTAAAAAAGTCACAAGTAAACAAACCCAACTTGTTTTTCCCTGAAAACTGGGTTAATCATGCGATGATCAATGACCTGGTAAATAAAGAAATGATTACTGTAACCCCTTGGCAGGGAATCTGGTTCATGTTATTACTTCCCCATCTTGAAACCAGTAGTTTAATTGGTATTAAGTTGTCTTATTCCCCATTATTTATGTTTTCCAATTTCCATGTATTCCTGCCAAAAGATTAGCAGAAGTTACCATCTAACCTCTGAAAAAAGGCTATATGTTTGACAGTTTGTAAATGAACCTTGGAAAGGCATTAAGAAATTAGATAGCTAAGTTAAGCACTCCCATTAATTATATAAGCAAATTATAAAAAGAACTTTTCCCTACTAATTTTTTGGGTTTGTGAAATTGTTCAGTTTTACAAGGTAGGTGCTGAATCATCCGATAATCATCAATATCACTGTAAATTATTGTTCATATATTTGTTCATGCTATAAATAGTTTTCAAGAACTACTACATGTATGCTGAACTTCTTTGGTTACCCGATTCATCAGAGATATTTGATTTTATGTTAAAAGTGTATGCATGCTTACTTCATATGTTTCAGGTTGAATGCTCAGGCATGGCTGATATGGCTCAGGAAATTGTAAAGCGAAATGGATTTTCAAATGGTAGTGGCATAATGTTTTGTATTTTCTTTGCTGACTGTTATAAAATACATTATCATTTCTTCATTATGGCTCGCTTGTGACCTGTGATTGATCTAATGAGTTTTTCTAAAAAATTGTGCAATCAGTTATCACAGTTCTCAAGGGAAAGATTGAAGAGATTGAGCTTCCAGTTGCTCGAGTTGATGTCATAATTTCAGAGTGGATGGGATACTTTCTGGTCTATGAAAACATGCTAAACACTGTTCTTTATGCAAGGAACAAGTGGCTGGTAAGTCTTAACAACTTTTGTAATTAATATATGACTAAGAGACCTAATTTGCTAGTGAACACCCTCAAGAAGATTGTTCGTTATTCTGGCATACAAACTTCAATAAAATGTTTTATCGGTTTTATTTTGCTTTCCTTGTCCAGGTCCAAGATGGAATTGTGTTGCCGGATAAAGCCTCACTTTATTTGACAGCAATTGAAGATGCTGACTACAAGGAAGACAAGATTGAATGTGAGTCTATCTATGTCCGCTGCAATTGCTCTATCTGTTGTTGCCTTTTATGTGACTCTTTTCAATCTGTTTTACCCTTTTCCTTCATTTTCCATGCCACTCACAGTTTGGAATAATGTATATGGATTTGACATGAGTTGCATTCGGAAGCAGTCCATTATGGAGCCTCTTGTTGACACTGTAGAACAGAACCAGATTGTTACCAACTGCCAATTACTAAAGGTTTAACACTTATTATTTGTTTGCAGTCTTGGCGGTTCTGTTATTTATTAGTGATTTGTTTATGTTAGATGGGAATGCTAAATGCATTTGATCTAAACTTCTCTATTTTGCCTATTTTTCAGACAATGGACATCTCTAAGATGGAAGCTGGAGATGCTTCCTTCACTGCACCTTTCAAGCTTGTGGCAGAACGTGATGATTATATTCATGCTCTAGTTGCTTATTTTGATGTTTCATTTACCAAGTGCCATAAGTTGATTGGCTTCTCTACAGGTATGATGTTTTGCTTTAAATCATATATGCGTGTTCGTGTGCATGTGTGTGTGCTAGCTTGTTTTTTATTTAGATAGCTTTAAGATGTTATTGGGGAAAAATATAATTTTAGTTCTTTCAGTGCTGCTCATTATTTTGGTCCTCTAAGTAACCTTATGGGTGTGTTTGTTTTGGGGGATTTTCCCCCAAATACACTATTTATCCCATTATTTTCCCCTAAAAACATGAAATCAAACATCTATTTTTTATTTTTTATATTATACTAAAAATTAATTTTACATTCAAAACATCGCATCAATACCTATTTATATCACATCATACAACTATTCAAATTCACAATTCTTATTATTTAAATCCCAACGCAAAATCCAAACCCCCAAACAAACACACCCTATCTAGAAATAGTCTTATGTGTAACTTGTTGTCACTCTAATGATATTAACTATGTGTGTTATACCTACACATGCATTGTGAACCTTTACATGTCACATTTTGTAAGCTAGTTGGAGTTTCATGTAGAATTTGTATTATTAGAGCGAGACAATGAGATACAAGACAATGTGCTAGTAAAAAATCATGTAAATAAAAACAAATCACAAGTAAGCAAACACTAGGTCAACCCAATGTTACACATCAAATTTGACTCCAATTTTGTATTAAAAAATAATATATTAAAAAAATAAATCTAAACATCAGAATTTTTTTGTGCTGCGAAATTTTTGATCTGGCTGTAACAGTTAAGAGTGTTACACCAAAATGGTGTGACAAGTTGTGCTTCATTGGAGCACTATAACAATGTATTTACAATTGAATGCATAGGGTATTAGAAATATTATGTAAATTCTATGCATAGAATATTACGACTTTCATAATTAAATGTTTAGAAATGCCATAAATATAACAGTGTGATTTTGTATGAACGGATAATTATTGTACACTAAATAAGGTGTCATAAATGTATTAGATCGACGATTTTTAGTAAGAAGATTATTATATAAAATAAAATCAATGCACTATGGATGTGTTTGTGTTTGTGTGTATATTTGTACAGTGGTTTGATATAATGTTCTGTGAGATAGCATTGTAATTTTCTTGGGAGCTTGGAATAAGCATAGTAGAAAAAAGTAGTTAAAAGAACAAAGCCTACGTGGTGATATAATGATGAGCATACACCTTAAGTATTGAAAATATTGTGGTAAAATTAATATGGAGAAATAATTAATGAATACTTTTGTGTTCCTTTCGAATCAATCATGGGTCTAGGCTACTAATCAAATCTGTAAACTTGTTTTGATCAGTTCTTGTATTGAAAGTGCTGTATCTACTTAATCCTGTTTAAAGTTAATTCATTGTATATGTTTAATTTCTATTATCCTATACTCTACGTAAACGCTGCATCTGACATTAAAATTTAAATTGTCCACTGTTTGCCCGCTTCAGGAGCAGTCACAGCGTTACTCTATTGAGCTGCAGTCTAATTACTTATTTTGTTCTCTTTGATTATGTATTGATTCTAACTACTCGTATGCACACCAAATAATCTCGAACTTGCTAACTTCGCTCCATTTTTGTCTCTGTTCTTGGTTGTAATGTTCAATATACAGGACCCAAGTCACGTGCCACTCACTGGAAACAAACAGTTCTGTACTTAGAAGACGTGCTTAGCATTTGCGAGGGGGAAGCATTGACAGGGACCTTGTCGGTGGCACCTAATAAGAACAATCCCCGTGATGTGGATATAACTCTAAAATATTCACTGAATGGGAAACATTGCCAGGCCTCAAGAACTCAGTTTTATAGAATGCGCTGATCTCGATATCCCTTGGTTATATGGTGTGGTATTCATGCTCGGAAAGTTCAGAGAGCTGGTTTCCTGATTGTTGCATGTGGCCTCCTTCCGCTATATAATTTCCATTGAACTTCTTCAGTCATATTTCCCGGCCAGCTACTGCTGCTGCCCCCTTCGATGAGCTCTTGGCTTCCTGGTAAGTGATGGCTATCATATATTTGGGTTATTGGATCAGTTTTTTGTTCGATGCTATTATGATAAAGTGAACACATTTAATCGGCACTGTACTGCCTATGACATTGAATTAGATCTACATTTAGTGCAACTTGGTTGCTGTGTTTGTCTTGCCGGCTAAATTGCTGCGGTTTGAGTTTCATTTACTACCTAAAGATCAGAAATTTGAATCTATTCACACAGTTGATTGCTCCTATTTTTATTTTTTATTTTATTTTTTGTTACTGGCTTGTTTATATAGATATATATATATATCTGCTAGAATTCATTGTTTTCCTGTGTATATCCTGCTTATATTAAATAGATACAAAACTGAGTTGTGAAATGTGAATATGCTGAAGTAGGTATTATATGTGTATCATTTCACTATATAAGATTGCAATTTGGTTGCAGCATTGGTAGAAGAGTGTTTGTTGAATATTAGTAAAGATTGATTGATTGGTGAGTCCATTCAAATTCATTTATTATATGTTGAAGACTTACAGAAAGAAACTTTTTTTTCGTTCGGGTCAAATCAACCGTGTGGTGATTTGATTCAGTCGGCACATATAATCAAGGCTGACAACTGATGTTTTATATAGTTATATTTGTAATATATTGTATAAATATAGTTATTGTATTGAAATTAATAATATATTATGCTACGCGGAATTATATTATATGCTGGTGAAATGTGTTATGGGGAATTATATTATATACCAATGTGTTATCAAAATATATGTTATGTGAAATTATATAATGTGCCATTCGATATAAATATGTTTCTTATTATATTCATTCACATGCATTCCCATTATTAAGTATTAATGCTTCATTTAAATTAAGTAACACCATTGAAATCTTTCTTGTCTTTCACCCTTCATCCCATGTGGTGCTTTAATTTCTTCACCCATCTATTATTGTTATTATTATTTAATAGCATCAAGATTGTTCGAACCATAATAGTTGGGAAGAACAACAGCTCATTATTGGACTGCACAATACTTTTATTTTCTGGTGAATATTTTCTTCAGGAAAATGGTGACAACAAAGGATAATTCTACTGGGCCATTGTGTCCTTAGATAACTCTATGCATACGTGTGTATGTGTCTACGAGTATTCACATTTGTGTGTGTGTTTTTTCTTTTTCTTTTTATTTTTTTCTCTTTCTATTTTAATTTAAATATATAAATAACTAGTGTAAATTTTATGAATTAGCTATCTTAATGTATTCTTTGTTAATACTACAGTAATATAATAATAATAATAATAATGTGTACACGATTTTGATGAATACAGGAGACAAGAAAAAATCTGTGTACGAACGTGAAATAATTGAAGTGCTGCAGGAGAAGGGTGGTTAGAGTGGTAATCAACATCACCATAACTACTTTTCAATGCACCACTTGAATTAAATCAATATATGCTCTAAAAATCTCATTTACCATTTTTTACAAATATCATTATAATAGTATTATAATACACTGATATTGTTTTGCCATTTTTTCTTGATTTATATTAAGTAAATGAAATCATTAGAACTTGACGAATATATTATTATATATTCATAATATATTAATATATAATTTGTGCTTATATTAACTGAAGAATGTGTTCTTTTAAATTATATTTTATATTATATATTTGTATTATGTTAATATTCACATTATAATAAAATTAACTCTAACTACCAGATCAGTTTCTACATTATATGTATTGATTAGAGCTAATTATCACAGTACTACATCTTAGCTGCTGCAAAAGAATTCAATGTTAACGATTTTATATTTATTTATTTTAATTTTTTTTTATTGGAAAAAATAATCTTCACAATTATATATATATATGTATTTCATAAATGAATTTATATTTAAATGCAAAACACAAATATAAAGACAAAACCAACATTTAATTTCAACCCCACCATTATAATTATATATATATATATCAGACTACATTGTATTATTAATTCTGGAATCGTCAAGCCAAATAAAATAAAGTAAAATAAAATAGATGATCTAAATAATGCCCCTATGCTCATTTTTATTTCACAATTTAGATGAATTAATAGTTTGTTTGCTTTTGTGCTCAAATATATTTATTTCCTACAAAAAATTTGATAAATGTGTGATCTTTTGAAATGAATGGTATATATATAATATTTGAGGTCGGCCGAAGTTCTTTTTTTTTTTCTTTTTTTTTTACATTTTTTTTTCAAATTATTTTTTGTGGACCCCATCAAATATATATTATTATATTACTACTATATTTAAGTCCAGTATTTATATATACATATTATTATATTATATATTTATATATTTTTTTATATTTATTTTGTATTTTAGTTCGTGTTTATTTATGTGAGATATGAGAATGTGTATTTATTTATATTTTTTAATTCACACAAGCACATATTTACACACGATTTTCCTAAATTCAAGTATATACGCACACAGTTTGAATCAAATAGGATTTAGCCTTTAAATAAAAAAATATCTCACAATTTGATTTACAAGTATTTAATTAATTAATTATTTTTAGTATAAGGGATAATGAATATATTTTAATTGTACTTTGTTACTTCCTTTGTCCGTTAATTTTAACACATTTTAGGTGAAGTATAAAGAAAGCTGCGTTAGATTGTTATAAATTGTGTAAAAAATAATACTTTTTTCGTTCATATAAGAAGCAATATTTGAATTTTGGTACGAAATTTTAGGTGGATAAAATAAAGTAGAAATTAAATAATGCGATGAAAAAATATATATATTTATTTTTTATTTGAATGATATAATAAGATAAAATATATTAATGATTTTTTATTTTAAAAATATTGTAAAATAAATAGAACAAATCAAAATAAATATTTCAGAATACGTGCGACGAAAAAGACTACAAAAGTTTGAGAGAGAGCATAATCTTTTTCATAGATTTCATTTTCCGACAGCATAATCTAACACAGATAAGTCCCTTTGTCTCTTTATAAGGAGGCTATCTCGATCTACCTATTTCTATTTCCAATTCTATTATTTTTATTATTTATGTAAATAATTTCATTGGAAAGATATTACATTTATTCAAAAGGTATTTTATACTCCCTCCGTTCCAGATATCGTGTCTGTTACACTGTAGACACGGTATTTTAGGAGGGGTGTAATTAATAGATAATTAAAAATGTATTAGTAAAAATAATTATCCTATAATATAAATAATTATAAATTAAGATTAAAATAACTAATTAGTTTAATTAAAATAAAAAAAAAATAAAATTAAAAAATTTAAAATGAGATTAAAGTGTGCAATCATTTTCCAAAAAAGGAAAGTGACATGTTATGTAGAACGGACAAAAATGGCAACGTGAACATGGTATCTGGGACGGAGGGAGTATTATATATAAATTTCATTGGCTGTATTGAACTTATTTTTGCATTGTTTATTAAAATTTATTATCTATAAAATAATACTGCCTCCGTATACGTCCAATTTACCGTAAACACGAGAATTTAGATAAAGTATAATTAATAAGTGACTAAGAAGTGTATTTGTAAAAAAATAATTATTGTATTATAAAATTAATTATATATGAAAGTTAAAGATAACTAAATAGTATAATTAAAATTAAAAAATTATAAATTATAAAATTTAAAATGTGATTAAAATTTATAATTATATTTTCTAAAAAAGAAAGGATAAATAAGGTGGGACGGACGAAAAAAAAATAGTGGATAAAAAAGGTGGGACGAATGAAGTACTATATAACTTATATTTTTATTTTATACTCTCTTCATCTCAACTTTTTTGTCTACATTATTGTATATACGGAAATTTAGATAAATTATAATTAGTAATTAATTAATAAATATATTAGTAAAAATAATTATTGTATAATAAAAATAAGTATAGATTAAGATTAAGATAACTAAATAATTTTAATTAAGATTAAAAGCTATACATTATAAAATTTAAAATGTAATTAAAGTGTATAATTATATTTTTAATAAAATAAAAAAAATTAAATGAGAGGGACTGAAATAAAAAAAATAAACATTTTATATGAAAAAGGAGAATGTATTATATATAAAAAATAATTAATTATTAATGTCCATAGCAATAAAAAAAAAAAATTGACGTAAAAATTTAAATTATAAAATTCAATATTATAAATTTTAACAATAAAAAATATTAATACAATATTATATTTTCTAAACACTATTATAAATAATAATCAATTAATAAAATTAATATTTTAAAATAAATATAGAAAAATCAGTACAAAATATAATTTTATGAAATTTTGAATATTTAAATTGTTAATGTCTTGATGTATATGTTTTTGATATATGCTTCAACGTGTGTTTAATGTTAAAGTTTCAGCATTTTTCTTTATTGGTATACGATAATTTTTATTTTCTTTTAAATAAATCCTAAAAAATTATAAAAAAACTAAATAAATAAAAAATCATTAGTGACATAGAAAATAGTAAAATAATGACAAAAATATTAATAAATAAATAAAAAAATATAGTAATATGAACTCAAAAACAAAACAAAATAGTGAAGGAAAAATAGAAAAAAAAAAAAAACATATGAAAAAAAGACAAACAAAACAATTGAAAAAAAAAAAGGGAAAAAAAGGAAATTTTTTGAAAAAAATACTATGAGTATTGATAGAAATTGCAAGAAAAATTAAAAAATAATTCACAAAATATAAGTTAAAAAATATTATAAAAAGAGAAAAAACTAGTGATACTATAAATATTCCTTTAAATAAAATAAAATCAATATTATTATATCAATAAAATAATATTCAAATAATTTTCAATAACATCAAAATTATAACATAAAAAATAATTCGAATATTTAGATTTTACTTTCAAAATTATGAATAACTTATAAAAGAATTGTTATCTATATGATACCTGCAACGACTAAGAAGAATTTATCTATTATAATATAATTATATTAATTATATAAATAAACTTTAATAATTGTAATTTTATTCTCAGTCATATAATTATATTATATAAATATAATATATATTATATCATTTTAATTTATTATACCATAAGTTATTAATATATAGTTGTACAATGTATGAATATTTGATTATTTGAGTAACATTATTTTTAATCTTATAAATAATTTATTCATAAATATTGAAGTTTTAATTTATTTTAAAATAAAATATAATAAGTATCAAATAAATTATATATATATATATACATATTTATAATAAAAATTGTTATGATTTTGCATAGTTTGTTAAATAATTTATTATATAATATTTTTCCACGATATTTTATATCAATATATATTTACTTTTTGTTTTTTTTTTTTTTTATATATTTTGTAAATAAAAGTAACACAAATTTTTCATAAAAAATAACTTGTGTGCAATTTACTTCAATATTATTGATGAAAAAATTTATATCAAATTCTGCTACGAGAATAGTGATGAATAAACTTGATTGCTTAGAAATAAAGTGACAACATCTATTTATACACGTATATGGTGAAATGGACAATTTACATCAAATCGATTTAATCGCTACAATTTGTCTCTAGAATATTTAAGGGCATCTACAACTTTTTTTTAATATTCTATCATCTATCATCTTCCAACTATTATTATGTACGAGTTTTAATTTTATCTTTAAATGTCCATAATATTTCGGATTATTCTAAATGAATTCTTGAAGTTCAATTTATTTTCTTGGTAACTAGATCATGAAATCGATTTGGACCACAAAAATTTCATTCTCAATGCACTTAATAACGTAAGAAGAAGGTTTTTTTTTTTTTTTTTTTTTTTTTAAAAAAAATGGAATCATTAAAAATATTTCTAGGAGATAAATAAAAATATTTATTGCAAATGGTAAGATGATTTTATTTTTATATTTAAAAACATCTATAGGGTGTGTTTCTCTGGGAGAGTTCGGAGAAAATTGAGTTTGAGTTTGGTTTTTATTTGAATTTTGGGATGAGTTTGAATTTTGTTGTTTATTTTGTGTTTGGATTTGGCTGGGATTTGGAGAATTTTGATGTGTATTGATTTGATAGATAATGAATAAAATAATATAAATATGTATTAAATTTAATTGATAAAATTTATATTGTATGATTTGATTATAAATTTATATTATACCAATCATATATATATATTTAAATTTTTATTTATTTTTATTATAGAAATTTTTGTTCTCTATAAAATAAAATATATATTGTATATATATTTTTTTTACATATAATTATAATAAATATTAAATAATATTTTAATTTTAAAAATAAAAAAAATAAAAAAATAAAAAAAGAAAGAAAAAGTAACCCTGCAGTGTGTAGCAGTCAATATCAGGCTAAGGCGTAGCCCGTCAAAAGATGTTTAGTACTTGCAGCATGGCTCCAAATTCGGACCAACAGTGGCGAAATAGTCAATTTTCCTGACCTATTGTGAAGAAACATACCCTTAAATTATGACTTGTAGGGTGTTATTCATATCATTTTTTTCATTAAAATAATCAAATTAAACATCTATTTTTTATTTTTTATATTATATTAAAAATTAATTTTACATTTAAAATATCACATCAACACCTATTTATATCACATCATACAATTATTTAAATTTAAAATTTTTACTATGCAAATCCCAACTCAAAATTCAAAACCTAGACAAACATACTCTTAATTTATGAACAATAATTTGTCATTATAATTGATTAAATAGCCTTAAAGATAATCATTACTATTTTGTATGAGTGTGTGTTGTACAATTTGCAATTAGTTATTTAATTAGATTTCAACTGTTAATTTATTCATCAGACAGTGGTTTGATTAGCTGATTTAATTTGTTGTTTGTATAAAAATATTTGATAAAATAAAAATAATAGTATATTTTAATTAAAAAATAAAAAAATTTAATTGAGGATAGAATAAAATATAAAATAATAAAATTTTCGTATATATTTATTATGTTTATTATTAATTATTAATTATTTCATTATATTAAGTTTTAATATATTTATTTATTTTTAATAAAAAATTATACTTATATAAAATAAATTAATAATATTCATGTTTTCTAACTTATTTAATAAATTTATATATTTTATAAATAAAATTAATTATATATAAAAATTAATTATTTTATATTTATAAAAATAAAATTATAATTTAGTAAATAAAATATATTAAAATAAGTAATAACTATTACAATACAACTATCTATATGTGTTTGAAATAAATGATAATTTTGAAGGTGAAATAAGAAATAAAGAAAATTGTGAAAATATTTTTTGAAATGTTGAGTTATATATAAATTTTTTTTCTCTAATAAATTATTTAAAAAAAATTAATTTATCAAACATTTAAATTAGCTACTCCCTCCGTCCTAGGTAATTTGAGCGTATTACCGTAGATACGAAAATTTAGGTAAAATATGATTAGTAAGTAATTAGAAAGTGTATTAGTAAAAATATTTATTGTATAGTAAAAATAATTATAGATTAAGATTAAAATAACTAAATAGTTTAATTAAGATTAAAAAAATTATAAAATTTAAAATGTAATTAAAGTGTATAATTATATTTCCAAAAAAAAGAAATAACAAATTATGTGAGACGAACGAAAATAAAAAAATAGGACAAATTATGTAAAACAGAAGAAATATTTGATTGGTCAAACAGTTAAAAAATTTTTGAAAAACTTTTTGTCGGACACCCGCCGAGTCTTAATTCATGATCCTTAATGTATATAATTATTTAATTAATTTACAATTCTTAATTTATGATCTTTAATTCATCTAATTATAATTGCTAAATTAATTATTAATCAAATTAAAAAAGAAAATCTAAATAAACATACAAAAAGAAAAATCAAAATCAAAATCAAAATAAAAAATAAAAAAAAATGAAAAACTTATCTCATTCACGTCATTTTGTGAATGGAGTGGTTTTAATGGAGTAGTAATTGTACTACTTACCTAACATAATAATATCATTTCAACTTACAATATATTACACAAATGCCATTATTTTTATATTACACTATCCTAATAGGGATATTTTTGTCTTTTTTACTATAATCCAATATAATATTAATATTTAAAAATCTACGTGCAAAAAGCAAATGCACTCTTTCACCGGGACGGAGGGAGTATTAGATTTTGAAAATTGTATTAGTAGTATAAAAAATATTTTTTTCGTCGAAGTTAAATGTATTTTTTTAAAATTTTATAGTAAATTAAAAAATAATAATATTTTATTTATTAGCATATGCATATAAGAAGTTAATGGTATGTAAATTTATAATTCAAATAAAAGTTAAAAATATTTTGATATTAGTAGTGTATGATTACTTTTAAAAAAAAAAAATACTTTTGAATAGGACAAAAATAAATGATAAAAATAGCGTTTTATATTGAATGATTCATTTTTTTTAATAAATGAATAAAATATAAATATTATATATATTGTATTGACGTATGTATATTATATTTTTTAAATAATATTTATAAAAAATGGTGCCATTAAAAAAAGCATTAATATATAACATAATGAAAAATGAAACTGAAAAATATCCAAAATTAACAACTTACCTTTACCTAAATTCAAAGTGGTTTGAGTGTATTATTCATTTGCAGCGGATAGAATTTTCAGAAATCGTTCGTTGTTGCAAGAAATTTTTTATTTTATTTTTGAAGGATTATATAAGTTGATTAAAGTGATATATTGGTGGAAAAGATCAATAAATTTCTTGTAAAATAGTATAATGTGAAATGATGATTTAATTTATATGTTTAATTATGATCATCTCTTTCTTTTTTTTTTTTAGCTAAGAACCTTAATTTATGACAATGACATTAAAAATTAATTAACAATCAAATTAAATATCAATTGTTAATCTAAGCTGTGGATTAAGATTTTCCATTTTACTATCAGCTTCAAGACTCTATACATTTCACATTTCATATTTCATATCCAAACCTTAATAATTATTTTTCAAAAATCTAAAATGGTTCGTCTCTGCCTTTTCTTCCTTCTCCTCTGTCTCGCCTGCTTCTTCCTCTCCTCCCACAACCACCACCACCGCCGCCGCAACCACCGCCGGCGCCGCCGCGACACCTCCGCTCTCCACTACGTCAAAACCAAACTCTTCACCGCAATAAAACCCACTTTCCTCCATCTCATCAAACATTTCTTCCCCTCCCCAAATCCGAAACCCTCGCCGCCGCCGCCTTCCTCCGCCGACCGGCTAAACTCTCCGGCCATTCTATTCAGCCCCCTCACCCCCCGCAAATCTCCAAACCCTTCCCCCTCCCCGCCGCCGGCCGCCGTCCACGGCCTCCACCCCTGCACCGTCTGCGGCGAGATTTTCCGGTCCCCTGCCCTGCTCGACCTCCACCACTCCGGCAGCCACGCCGTCTCCGACCTCGCCGACGGCGAGAACATCGTACGGATAATCTTCAACGCGGGCTGGCCCGGACCATCACCCGACCCGGATATGAACCGGGTCCGGGTCCGGAGCCCCGCCATCCACCGGATCCTGAAGATCCACAACCACCCGAAGATCGCGGCCCGGTTCGAGGACCACCGCGAGCGCGTGAAGGCGCGTGCGGCGGCGCAGGTGAAATCCGCCGGAGACGAGCGGCGCGCGGCGGACGGCAACGAGGTGCTCCGGTTCCACTGCACGACGGCGGTGTGCGACCTGCAGGAGCCGTCCGTCTGCGGACACGAGCACTGCAGCCTGTGCGGGATCATCCGCGGCGGTTTCTCGGCGAAGATGGACGGAATTCCGACGCACGGCGGCAGCTACGCCGCCCACCGGACGGTGCCGGAGGAGGTGGAGGAGGACTTCAAGTTCATGCACGTGCGGCGCGCGTTGCTGGTCTGCCGGGTCATTGCGGGTCGGGTCGGGTTCGAGGCGGGCCCCGCGAATAAGGAGGATCCCGGGTTCGATTCTTTATTAGTGAATGGAGAGGGGGAGGAGGATGAGCTGGTGGTGTTTGATCACAGGGCTGTTCTTCCCTGCTTTGTCATCCTCTACTCTACTGCGTAATGACCCCTAATTACTCTCTCTCTCACTCTAGTTTCTCTCTCTCTAAATATAAATATATATATATAGCCATTGTCGGTGTAAGAGTTGAGTTTGATAAAATGGGTCTTTATTATTATGCAGCCAATGATATGAGTTGATTATATTTATATTGTGCCATCGTCATTTATTTTGTTTCTAAAATGTTTTGGGTAAATTTCAAATAACCTGCAAACAAGATTTGGAGAGCTGTTGGAATTTATTTACAGTTAATTTTTATTGAATATGGGTCGGATTTTTAATAACTTTTTTGAGGGTTTGAATAATTTTTATTGAATATGAGTCGAATTTTTAATAACTTTTTTAGGGATTGAGGAAGATAGGTAGGATAAAAATCAAACCCCCTACCTAAAAGTCGAAGGTTGAAAGTTTTGCCATTTAGACTATACTTTTATTCTTTTTTATTATTTTCAGTTGAGATATAGTTTTATATTTGAATTATTATTATTATTACAACGTCGGACTTGTCTCCGGGCCAAGCTTGAGTTGAAATTTTTTTAATCCTATGGGTCCGGCGGATACATTGCGAGTAAGGTCCAAATATATTTAGTAATATACATTTGTTAGGATCTCGAGTCCAACTATATCTTATCCGTACCCTACCCATTTGCCACCCGTGGTCCAAATGGGGCTAAAATTGTAGAATATTTCATGCTCTTAGTCGACATAATAAAACTTACCATTATAAATTTTGTAGGGTTAAATTTTCATGATTATCCAATTTGACTCCCGTTTTATTATTAAGTACTAAGTTTATGTATATATATATATATATATCACTGTGGGATGAGTAACATTGCTATATATTCTGATTATAATTAATGGAGGAGTGGAGTGTGATGCTTGTTGTATATACGTACATAAGTAATCGATTGTTAATATATATGCATGTATATATATAATTGGGGTGGGGGTGGGGGTGGGGTGGGGCATTAAGAAACCAAACATGTATATATATATTTTATGCCAAAATAATGTTTCAGATGGTCTATTGAAATTGGGTGAAGTTGTGTTGATGTCTGGGTTTTACGATAGATTTTTATTATTCAATTTTTTTTTTTAAAAAAAATATCGTGTCAAATAATAATAATTATTATCATTTTTTTATATTATACTGTAAATTTATTTTACATTTAAAATATCACATCAATTTTTATTTATATTATATTAAATAGCTATTCAAATTCAATTTTTTATTATTAAAAAATCCAAACCCAAAAACTAAAATTCACAAACAAACGCGTATAATTTTCGAAAATTTATTGAAGTCTGTAAATTCTCATATTTCATATTTCAGACATCGACATTATTTTTCTCCCTCTCGCTCTCTATATATATAGAGAGAGAGAGTTTGCATTACGGTGTGTGATTCTTACTCATGCAATTTTATATTGTCTAAACTTTCTTTTCATTCTAACATATGGAAAAGGACAATAATGAGAAATTTCTTCGAAGATATTGCCCATGGCCATTAGTGAAGGTCACCGAGCATATCATTTGCTTTTATCAATGATTAGAATTTTCAATTAGCCGGGTAGTTGTTAGCTGATTCAATTAGCTGATAGCTGTTAGTTGATTCAATTAGCTGGTTTGACTAGCTGATTCGATTAGCTATTTGTATTAAAATATTTCGTAAAACAACTGTTTGATATTAGTTGTTTATACGTAAAATGACAGTTGAGGATATTTCTATTTTATTCTTATTTCTAATATATTCAATTATGTTTAGTTTAGAATGTTTAAAATTTTTTGTTATTAGTTATTGAAAATTGTAAAAGTGTTATAAAAATATTTATTTTTATTACAGTTAGATTTAAAAAATAATATATTTTTATTAAAATATATAAATAGTTTTTTTTTTATTGAAAATGATGTAAAATATATAAATAGTTTTTTTTTTATTGAAAATGATGTAAAATATAAAATAATAAATTTTTTGTGTATATATTTATTATGTTAGTTATCGATTAGTTCATTATATTTATAATTTTCAATAAATTTAATTTATTTTTAGTATAAAATTTACATAATGTAATTTTAATAAAAAAATAAATTATTAATATTTATATTTTTTTATTTTATGTTGATTTTAATAAATTTATATATTTTACAATTAAAATAATTTTTATATAAAAATTAATTATTTTAAATTTATAAAAGTAAAACTATAATATAATAAAATATTCTAATATAATTAATAAATAATCAAAATATATTTATTTGTGTAAAATTTATAATAAATTTTTAAGGGCATATAAGGAATAAAAAAATTTTTACAAGAAAAAGCTATTTCAAAACAATGGGTAAGTTAGCTTTTCAGAAATTAGCTTTTTGGGTCCAAAAACTAATTTACCAAATACCTAAATTAGCTTTTTGACTGGTCAAATAGCTAAAAGCTATTCAATAAGCTAAAAGCTCTTAAAAAAAAAAAAAACTATTTGCGAAACCACCCCATAGTGTCTCATGGTTCCACAAAAGCAACTTATAATTGTGGAGTTTGCATATATGGTGGAAGATTAGAGTATTGTGGAAATTTCTAAAAAGTTATGAAGATTGGAATTTCTTACCATACCCATCAAAAGATGTTTTGTCTTCAATCGTAATTGAGTAGTCCAACTAGGGGCATTGGAACTAAAAAAATACAAAAAATAGAATCTGATAGAGGTAAATAAAAATAAAATAATTTTAATGCTATGAACCGTTCATACATGGATTATATTCTCGAGGTCTTGGCTAAGTGACGCGTGGTATAAAACTTTGAGGAAGCACAAAAGAAATGTGAATCTGTCGAAAAGAACATTGGTTGGGGTAATTTGAAAATTACAACTGAGTTCACTCGTACGAGGCTGTTTTACGGTCATAATTTCAACTTCTATGCCACCAGACCATTCCTTGTGAGACAATATTATATACAGCAAATAAAATAATATTTATAGTGGGCAATTTGAAGTTAGTGAAAGTAAAATATTTTATTGGTTAGTGAAAATGTGTAACATGATTTTGATATTTTTGTTCTTGTCCATTATATATAAATTTATTGTATATATAATAGTATTTTTATAATTCATATAAAAATTAAATAATATTTTGATATTATCATAGGATTATTTTTACTATAACAAGAAATAAATATTTTTAAATGGAACAAATAAAAATGATAAAATAAATACTTTTAATTGAGACATAAGGAATACTATAAAATAGTGTATATATTTCATATAGGGTGTGACATTAGTTGGAAATTAGGAAATGTTTTAGGCATATTTATGAAAAAAAAAAATTTAAAAAAAAATTGGAAGTGTAAGAGCTATTTTTGTTAGGAAAATTTTGAGGGATTATTAATCCCTAACGAGCCCTTTTGAAGGTTAAGGACATCTTCATCTCATAAACTCCACTTATAAAATTTTAACATAAAAAATACAGTTGTTATAATATTTTTATTTTAATTATAATTTTATTTTTCACTAATATTTTTTGAATATTCTATTTTATATATTATTTTTAAAAAAATTTATATTTATAATTTACAATTTTTATAAAAAATTTAAAAGATAAATTAAAAAAATAAAACTAAATAAATAAATAAAAAAGAGAAAGGCAACGCGAGGGAATTATTCCATCAAAAAATCCCTCATAATAAATTAGAAACGTACCATTATAGACACTGCAAATTCACTCTACAAAGGAAATATCTGATCCTCGCAAAAATAAAAAAATAAAAATCCTTAGTGTATGAATTAGCACTTGCATATACAAATAACAAACCCATAAGCTTGCTTTTGCTCATGGTAGAAAATTTGGGGTATAAACATCGACCACATAAGCAGAAGCCATGAAGTTATGCAATTTGATGCAATAACAAGTCAAGATCATATTTAAGCATATCGCACCTGGCCCTTGTCATTATAAAATCTTGAATGTTTCATCAAGACAAAAGGTATTCTTGATTTTAGTTTGAATTAATTTTTTTTTTTCAAATAATACTTCTTAAAAAAAAATTTAACATTTCATGAGTGTTGGAAAGTGATTTATCGAACAAAACAAATTAGCAACACTTTAAAGGGCCAACTGCCTAAGTACGAAGGGTTCATAGTTATAATAACGTTTTAACAACGAATGACAATGCAGAATATAAAACAACAATGAGACAAGATGTTTGTTGACTCAGTTCGATTATCAACATATCTACATCCAGGAGATACCAATCCGGGAGGAATTCCACTGATCAGTGCTGATTAAGGACACAAACAATCACAACTCATTTTACTCTAACGCTTGTCGTGGTTAACCTAGGAAAATACCTCGTACTACCAACGACCACACAACAAATAAGTCCAAAACTTGATCATTCCCTCCGGTTGGAACTCCATTATTCCGAACACCTTCGACCCCTCCAGTTGATTTAAGTGTATAACACACATTCAGAATGTGGAGAGATGAACTGAATGGGTGGTGAGAGCTTTTCTCAATAATTTTCTCTCTAAGATATGCATACCAACTCTCACACCCATTTGATTGACTTTTCAAGTTGTATAATCCATGCATCCTTGGAAAAAACACACCTCACATTAATTTTCCTTAAGCATAAAAAAGGATGAAGTGTCCTTCAATAAATCTGCACGAGTCTGACCATTCCCAAAATACCGTATTTGACTCTTATAGACATTTAAAGTTTAGACACAATGAATAAAATCAAGCCCACAAATTCTGACTGCAACATGATTCCAGTGAAAGCCTATCTGCAACTTCCGAACACTATAAAAAGAACTCTTGCTGCCGCATGAAAAAAACATATTTGTCCATATATAAAAAATAACAAAGAGTTTCTCTATTCACAATGAGCATTTCGAATAGTATAATTTTTCAGAGTAATTATTATTATTTTTTTTCAGGCAAAAACTATATTTGACTGCAATTGCATTAACAAAAATAAAACGAAAATAAACACAAATGTGAATATATTTATTACAAACAAATAGTTCGTCTAATGTGATTTGTCTTATAACTACGCCATAAATAATATATATATATATATATATAAAGAGTTATTTATGCACACAATGGCCCATTAAATTATTCTTTTCTTGTCACCATTTTCCTTGAGAAAATATTCACAAACAAATAAAAATATTGTGCAGTCCAATAATGAGCTGTTGTTCTTCCCAGCTATTATGGTTACAACAATCTTTATGCTATTAAATAATAGTAAATTAATAATAATAACAATAACAATAGATGGAGTGAAGAAATTAAAGCACCACATGGGATGAAGGGTGAAAGACAAGAAAGATTTCAATGGTGTTACTTAATTTAAATGAAGCATTAATACTTAATAATGGGAATGCATGTGAATGAAACATGTTTCTATTCTATCAGTAGACAATCATAAATAAATGAACGAATGGACTAGCCAATCAATCTAACTTGACTAAATATTCAACAAACACTCTCTTCTACCATTGCTGCAGCTAATTTGCAATCTTATATATACTTCAGCATATTCACAACTCAGTTTTGCAGAGTCCTTTCGCCAGCACGCGAAGGGAAAGACGAGCGAGCGACTCTCACTCGTCTATCTATTTAATATAAGCAGGATATACACCAGAAAGCGACGAGCTCTACTGGATTCATATATAAACAAGCCAGTAAAAATAACAAAAGTTTAGGAGCAATAACTTAGGATTAATCAACAGGGTGAATATATTCAAATTTCTGATCTTTCGGCTGTTAATGAAACGAAAAGAGCAGCAGTTTGGCCGACAAGACATTAACACAGAGCAACCAAGTTGCACTAAATATAGATATAGTTTAATGACATAGGCAGTAAAGTTACAATTAAATGTTTTCCGTCTTATCATAATAGCATCGAACAAAAAAACTGATCCAACAACCCAAATATATGCTAGCTATTGCATTTACCAGGAAGCCAAGAGCTGATCGAAGGGGGCAGCAGTAGCTGGCCGGGAAATGTGAGTGAGATTGAAGAAATTCGATGGTAATTATAGAGCGGAAGGAGGCCATATGCAATAATCAGGAAACCAGCTCTCTGAACTTTCCGAGCATGAATACCGCACCATATAACCAAAGGATATCGAGATCAGGGCATTCCATAAAACTGAGTTCGTGAGGCCTGGCAATGTTTCCCATGTAGTGTATTTTAGAGTTATATCCAAATCAAGTGGATTGTTCTTGTTAGGTGGCCACATATAAGGTCCCTGTAAATGCCTCCCTTCTCAAACACTAGGCACGTCTTCTAAGTACAGATTGTTTCCAGTGAGTGGCGGGGTCCTGAGTAACCAGGAAAAGAAGCAAAAATGCAACCAAGTTAGCATGTTCAAGAATATTGGTTCTTGCTTACATTTATTTAGAATCAATACACAATCAAAGAGAGAGTGAAATAAGTACTAGACGCAGCTCATGGTGTAGCTTTTACACTATATAGAAATTAAGCCTATAAACGGAATTAGGTTCAAAAAGGATTGAGTAGATACGACACTTACATGATGAGACCTGAATAAAGCAAGTTTACCAATTATTTCCCCATAATAATTTTACAAAAATATTTTCAACATTTAAGGTGCAAGTTTATTATATTGTCACATAGTAGTGTATTGATGGCTTCTTTATAATATTTACTAAATGTCATTACAGTGAAAACAAGACCGTGGATTATTAGACCTCATGATATATTATACTTGCACAATCCTGCAACTTCAATTAGCATGGTCAGCCATGTTCCAATAGTACGGAGGAAATATAATTTTGGTCAGGTAAGCCCTTAAAAATCATTTTGGTCCATTAAATGGCCCTATACAGAGTCATGTATCTCACTCTCGATGCTTTAATGGTTCTAATTTGGTGTGACATTCACTAGTGTTATTAAAGCGACGACAAGTTAAATACAAAACTATTTCCAATCAAAACAAGTTAAATGATAAGGGGTTACACTTACAAGATCAAAATTATATATTTCCCCGACAAGATTCTAAAGCTATCTGACAAATACATGCTCTGACACACAATCAAATGCACATTCATGATAACACACATATGATTTAAAACGAAACATTATACCTGTTGAGAAGCCAATCAATTTTAAGCCACTTGGTAAATGAAGCATCCAAAATAAGCAACTAGTGCACGAAAATAATCAGAGCGTTCTGCCACAAGCTTGAAAGGTGCAGTGAAGGAAGCATCCCCATGTTCCATCTTAGAGATGTCCATTGTCTGAAAAATAGGCGAAACAAAGATGTTAATAATATAGAATTCACATTTAACGTAACAAATGATTAATACATAATAGAACAACCACATCAGAAGACAATAATAAGTTTCAAACCTTGAGTAATTGGCAATAACAATCGGGTTCTTCACTAGAGTGTCAACAAGAGGCTCCATTATGGCATGCTTCCGAATGCAGCTCATATCAAATCCATACATTATTTCAAACTGTGAGAAGCATCAAAATTAAGGAAATGCTAATTACTAAGAGGGCGTGGATGAAGCCCGAGCATAAAAAGCTTATTTTTAAAGGTAGGCCACTTCAGAGATTAAAAACGCATGAAGCAATTAAGTGTGAGAAAATAGGAATCAAGAAGACCTTTTAGCATGTACACGCATAGCACCAAATATTGCACATTAGCCAGTACTCTGCAAAATAGAACAGTGTCCTATAAGAAAAACCAAATGAAAATGAATAGTGTAGCAGGTTAATTACGGCATAACCATGTTTGGCTCCAAGTTTGGCACAAACCAGTGAAAGGATTCCTGTTCTGACCACACATCAAGAACCATATCCTTGGAAAGGAAAGAACTCTTGTAAATGGCATTCTGGCATGTCTTAGTTCTTAAAACGTCTTCACCATTTCCTCTATTGAGATGCAACAAGATAAGAAAATTTAACCTGCAAAAATAAATAGATGTAAAAGAGGATGTTTCCAATTCAAAAGCTAAATGTAACAAAACAAAAGGAAACATGCAATGGTGCTATTTTTGTATTCGAACACTTACTTCATGCAAGGCAGTATCCATTCCCAGATCACTCCCCATCAATATTCAACTGCAACTCTGCTCTCCGCTTAGCTGAAAGACCTTTCGATAACATTTCTTCCTCATATTTGCGTGCCATATCAACCAAGCCCTTCTGCAGCAAAGCATCAATCAAGGCATTATAAGCACATACATCTGGACTGAGCCCATGGTCAGTCATCTTTTTCCAGAAATGAAGAACTGGCCTAAGGAACCCCCATCTCCCAAACTTCCTCATAATTATGACATATGTATCCACCCTCGGTCGAACACCACTTTCTTGCATCCTACCAAGCAACTTTAGTATCTCCCGAGGCTTTTCTAGGCATATGAAGAAGCAATGATAGGTCACTACATTGGGCTCACAACCTGCTTTAGTCATCGAATTAAGCATTTCGCGTGCTTCTCTATATCTTCCATTCTCACACAACAGCTTCAGACTTGTATTGTAAGTTACCACATTTGGCTTGCAGCCCAACTCAATCATCTCATTGTAAATCCTCCTTGTTGCATCAACACCCTCAGAAATACCAATTGCGTGGATAACTGTGTTGTATGCCACCACATCCAATCGAATACCCTTCTTTTTCATTTCCTTGTACAGCTTCACCGCCTTCCATGGCTTCCCGCTCTTGCGTTGAATATCCATATATATAGAGTACGAATACAAATCTTTCTCCACACCTCTCTTGTCCATCTCCCCCCAAACCTCCCTACACTTGCTCCACCAAGTCAGTTTAAACCAACCACGTAGAATCATATTATACACTTTCGTACTTTGCACATCAAATTCAAACAATTTCAGATCATACTCTCCAACCCTATATTTCCCTAAACAGATCTCTTCAGCTTCAATCACATGTTTGTACTCGCACAGGGCATCAATCAAATTCGAGAATGAAGTTTCATCCCTCAAATTAAACTCATCCAACTTGACAAAAACATCGATCGCTTCATTAACCAGGTGAGCCGAGATATATCGCTTGAATAATACCCGAAATGTTGTATGATCAGGCAAAGTAGACGGATTCTTTCTCATTCTTTCTATTAGACTCCAGGCGAGGTCGAACTCAAAAAACTTACTGAGAATGTCCACCACACGGTTCAATGTCTGGGTGCTGTGCTGAAATCCAGGCTGGGTCTCAACCCAGTTAAAGAACTCCAATGCAAGCTTCCAGTCATTGGCGTAACAATCAAGGGTTTCGAGAATCGTATTTTTCTTACAATCGAATTGATTGGAACCTATTATAGATGTGGCGGTGGAAACCTTGGGACTGCGGTGATTTTGAGTCGACAACAGTGTGGCACCCTTCTGGTGTGAAGTGTGATAACAAAGGCAACCCTGGAGGTGTGAAAGAAGAAGGTGGCGTTGCAAAGGAAACCGGCGGATTTGGGAAGTGATTGAGAAGAGCATATCAACGTACTCTGATTAAATTTTAAGGTCGATCTCAGTCAGATGTAAATGACAGCGACAGTGAATTATCAAATATTATAAAGACATATATTGCACAAATATAGCTTCAAAAATCACAAACAAAAAATGTCAACGAATCCAGGAAGCTCCTGAACCAATTCCAACAAAAGAAACACAAAGTGAACTACCACCAATCCATAACAAGAATGCAAAAGGACAACAAAAGTAATAAACTCCAACACTTTGGATCAATCTAAAATCACAATAATTAATCACAACAAATATCAATCAATTCAATCCACAAAAACCATAGCAGCCAGCAAAAAGAAAAACTTACATAGCCTCCGAAGAAACTGTAGTTGTAGTAGAAGGAAACGAAAAGACTACGAGCACGACGACAGCGGAGACGTCGAACACTGGAGAAGAAAAATAGATGACCGTAAGAAAGGAATTTCCGAATCGAAATGGGTCGACGGGAGCCAACCAGGTCTGGTCTGGCAGCAGGTATTGAAGAAGAAGGAAAAGAAAGGGAAGAAGAAAGAAAAATGGATGCCGGAGCGGGGAGGGGTGGGGCGGGGCCAGAATACGAAGATGGGGGCGGCGGCGCTGTAGGTTTGGGTTAATAATAGTAATAATAACAAAAATAATAAAAAAGCGCAAAAATCAGTCCAATCAAATTCATGTTTTTCATTTAAGTTCCATTAAAAATAAATATTAAATTTAATATCATATAAAAATAAATGGACAATTGGTCTGCCCTTCCTACAGGTAATGTTCAACTAAATAAATTACTATTTTCTCCGTTCTACTATTAGGATGATATTTAGTTTTGTGTTATTTTTAAAAATATTTTTATATTTATATAATTTTTTTACAAATATTATTTTAATTAGTATTATAATACATTAATGAAAATATTTTTATTTTTTTTAATTTGTACTAAAATTTAATATAATAATTAATATATTTATTCATTTATTTTTTACACACTAAAATAAAAAAATAGATAAAATTGTTAAAATATAAAAAAAGTATTATTATTAGGCAAAATAGCAAAACCAACTAAAAAATTTCAAAAAATCTACTTATATTTCCAAAATATTGCATTCTGTCTCCACTCTAAATTTGACTAAAGAACGTTAAATTTTATACGTTAAATCTACTTATGTTTCCAAAAATAACTTAAGTCATTTTCGTCTCTATCTCCATGTGTTTGTGTTATAAATTTGAGATCGATTTCAAATTTAATTATGTTTAACTAATTTAAAAGAAAAAAAATAAATTAAGATTAAATTTTTAAAGTATAAAAAAAAAATAAGGAAGCAGCTACAGTTAAAAATAGGCACTTGAACGTACAACCGCCGGAGATTTTTTGCAGCATTTTAAAATATATTTTGAGCAAATTCTGAAATTCATAGTAAATTTTTTTACTATTTTGCGTTATTATTATTATTATTGGTACACAAACCTGTGTTGATTACCCTAATTAGAATTAGTAACATATTATAATAATCGCTTTTGCTTTTGCCTTTTTATCCACGCTTCTCAGTAACATTTTCATTTTTTGTTTTGTTTTGTTTCGTTTGTATCCCCAAAAATTCTATTCTGACCTCTGTTGTCTGCCCCAACCCCAACTGCCATGGATTTGCTGCCTGGAGAATCGCCTCAGATCTTGAGCAAGACCAAGCAGCGCTTCCGTTCCCTCAAACTTGTCACCCTCAATGAGGACGACGTTCTCGCGGAGGCGCCCTTTGGCGCTGACTACGGCCAACTCACCAATGGCCTTACCTACTACGTGCGCGTTAATTCCAAGCCCAAAATGAGGGCTGCTCTTGCTCTAGCTATTAGGGTTGGGTACGTGCATTTTCCCCACCGTTCTCCCTTTGTAGATTCGATTCTTTTCGCTATCTGAAATGTTTCTTTAACTTGTTTTATTTACTGCTTCTCCTTAATTTTGTGCTGATTTGGGTTTGATTAGAAGTTCGAGTTAGTTATAGTCATTTGTGAAATGCAGCTAATGGCAACTGGAGATTGCCCTTTGTTGTGATTGCATCTTTCTCTTTTTACGCCCAGCAACGATTAAAGCTCTTACCACTTTCTTTTTATATGGTAAAATTAAAGAAGAATATGATACTGTCGTGCTGTATTGGCTCTTTACAAATCCATATTCCATGCCACTCCGTTAAGTGCTTCTTTAGGTCTGAACAAATTGGAATAAATCTACTTTCCACTATTAGCTAGTGGTCTGTATTTACTTGATGATGCCAATCTTTGCATGTTTATTGGATAAATAGCTTTTATGAGCTCAAAGAAACCCTGTTCTTTGTGCAAGGGTAAAGTCGTAAGTGATTTACTGAATTCCCAAAACAGAGGCATACTTTAAAGCTGAAGCTAGGTCTTGAAAGAAATTTATGTCACTGCATAAACCCTCTTTGACTGTCTGCTTTTGTTTGTTCCCACTCACAATGGTATCAAACTATCAATCCGCTGATACCTATTTGTTGGTAGTGTAGGGGTCTTTCATACATTGATGGCAGCCATCCATTCAGTTATTTGATTTTGAAGCATGACTTTCCAAAAACTGATGGACATCTGAGGAAGTAGCAATGTGTCTATTGCAACTTTACTAGGGAAACAAAAATATGCCTGAGAATGGAACATTTCTGTCTAGATATGCTGACAAGAACTGATCTCTCTCTTGATATGTTTCATACTTCTAAAATCCTTGTGACAGGTATTAATGGAAGAAATTATTTACTTGATGTATGATTATTTTTGTGTAGGTTTATTTTCCTGACAAATGAAATTATTTCTGATGTACATTTAGGTTATGGTAATTAATTAGATGTTCTAGATTGGTTAGTCTCTAACCCAAATTGATGCATTTTACCAAGTTTAGTTATTGTTCATGGCAGTTCAGTTTTGGAAGAGGAGGAAGAACGTGGAGTTGCACACATAGTTGAGCATTTAGCTTTCAGTGCTACTAAAAAGTATTCAAACCATGATATTGTCAAATTTCTTGAAAGTATTGGGGCTGAATTTGGTGCCTGCCAAAATGCTGTTACATCGGCTGATGAAACTGTTTATGAGTTATTTGTTCCTGTTGACAAGCCCGAACTTTTATCTCAGGCCATTTCAGTATTGGCAGAGTTCAGTTCTGAGGTATGTGTTTATTATTTATATGTTGTTGAAACATAAATCTTTTTTGAAAACAGTCTCATAACTTGTGTGTTACAGGTTCGTGTATCAGCAGATGACTTGGAAAAAGAAAGGGGAGCGGTACTGGAAGAGTATAGAGGAAGCAGAAATGCTAATGGAAGGATGCAGGATGCCCACTGGGTTTTGATGATGGAGGGTTCAAAAGTAAGACTCATTTTTTTTGTGGATCCTTCACCTCACAGTGATGGAACTGGAACTCTAAAGCCAACGAAAAATTTTGTATTCATACTAACTTTTGTGGAGTCAATTGCAGTATGCAGAGCGTTTACCCATTGGACTAGAAAAAGTGATCCGAACTGTTTCCCCCAACACTGTTAAACAATTCTATAAGAAATGGTACCATTTACACAATATGGCTTTGATTGCTGTTGGAGACTTCCCTGATACACAGGTTGAATTATTTATTTATTTTGATCTCTTTTGCTCTTATATAAATTCACCTAGTCTTGAGATTTATTAGCTGTTCTCTCTCTTTTCTCCCCTTGATTGTGGTAGAGTGTTGTGAAGATGATAAAAAATCATTTTGAAGATAAAGTTCCAGTAGTTGATCCCCCAATTATACCTCAATTCACCGTGCCTTCTCATGAGGAACCACGATATTCAAGTTTCGTAGAATCTGAAGCCGCTGGGGTAAAATTTGGCTTCTGTCTTTCAATCCCCTGCTCCCTAAATTTAGTGTAACATTACCAACTTCTGACATTTGAACTTTTAACTTGCATTATACTTATATTTTATAATTGATTTGTAACAGTCAGCGGTGATGATCAGTTGCAAAGTCCCTGTGGATGAGCTGAAAACTGTAAAAGACTACCGGAATTTACTGGCTGAATCCATGTTCTTTCATGCTTTGAACCAGAGGTTCTTTAAATTGTCTCGGAAGAAGGATCCTCCCTACTTTTCTTGCTCGGCTGCTGCGGATGTGCTTGTTCGTCCAACTAAAGCCTATATAATGACTTCGTCCTGCAAGCAAAATGGAACTATTGCAGCACTCGAATCAATGCTGATCGAGGTGTGTCCTTTACCCTGATGAACCCACGTATATTTCATTCCTCTACTTATGTATGACTTTTTAGGTTGCCAGAGTTCGTATGCATGGATTTTCTGAGCGAGAAATATCTGTCGCTCGTGCTCTTTTAATGTCAGAGATTGAATCTGCCTATCTAGAGCGCGATCAAATGCAATCTACCAATTTGCGAGATGAGTATATCCAGGTAATACCCTCCCCTGGTCTGAATTAAGTACTTCAATGCTTATTCTTCTCAACATTTGAACTTATTTCTCAGCATTTTCTCCGAAATGAACCTGTTGTTGGCATTGAATACGAAGCACAACTTCACAAAACCCTTCTACCAAGTGAGTATTTTGCAGTCCTTCCATTAAGATATTCTTCACTGTAAGTTCTCATAATATTTTATTTATATTTTTAAACCCCTTGAATGGTAGATGTGTCGGCTGCTGAAGTATCGAAGTACTCGAAGAATTTTCGAACATCATGTAATTGTGTTATAAAAACAATTGAACCTCACGCTGCCGCAACAGTTGATGATTTGAGAACTGTTGTTTCAACGGTCAGAACTCTTGAAGAAGAAGGAAATATTTCTCCCTGGGATGATGAGAGCATCCCAGAAGAAATTATTAGCACACAGCCAAATCCAGGGTACTGTTACACTCCCTTCTCCACAAGTTCTGAATATAAGAAGCATCTCTAACTTGAAAAAAAATTCCAGTAATTGTTAGTCCCCCTATTATAAGTGAATGTAAGTAATTCTTTGTATATGGTATTAGAAAGCAATGGTCCTGAATATATATGCGCATGTGTGTGTGTACATATGCAATGAGAAAAATTGGTTACTATTAGTATATCAGGTGCGAATCATGAAATCTAGGTTTTATAAAATAATTAAGATGATGGTATGGAAGAATATGGAGTTGCAATATATGGTGCTGTTATATAATTTGGATATGAATTTACTCCTTATAATACTAGCCAGTAAGATCTAGTGGGCAATGTTTACAGCTTTTCTGCAAAACTTGATTGCTTTTGTTTTGTTTCAGTCATGTGGTGGAGCAGTTTGAGTACTCCAGTATTGGTGCCATGGAATTGATTCTTTCAAATGGCATGCGGGTTTGCTATAAATGCACTGATTTTTTCGATGACCAGGTAATCAGTTGTAAAGCTATTACACTCTAAATTATTATTTCGGAATTTGTATTGTATGCATTGGATACACATCTCTATGTTCTAAAATTGGGCAAGTATTTGAGAACATGAATGCCAATTTTGTTCTGAGTTGGTGGGGCGGTGGATGTTAAGTACCTATCAAGGCATGATTGATTTTTTAAAATGTTATTCCTGGAAATGCATTTCACTCTGAAAATAAGACATGTGTGAGGAAAAAAAGAACCTGCATGCCTTATTTTTATTTATTTATTTATTTTTTGGAGGGAGGGGGTGGAGAGCAACAAATTATTATTTGATTAAAAATAAATAAAATCAAGGGATACAAAGGGAATAATGGTTGGAGCTAAAAGCAAGCAACAGTCTGACAACTAAGAGGGAGACAACTAGAGAACTTAGAGCCAAGAAATAAGATCTATATCAAGAGAAGCTCCACGGTAAGCTAGGAAATCAGCTAGATTATTTCCACTTCTTGTGATGAGATGGACAACAATAATAGGATGCTTTGAGATGATATTTAGGAGTTGGGGCTGCGCTGGTGATCCAACAAGGGCAATAGTAGAGTCGACACTCAAGGATGATTTTAGGGAGAGGTCCAATCTGCACTTGAAAGAGATGGTCAAGGCGATGAATAATTGCTAGGATTTCTGCTTCATTTGAGTCCACATTTCCAATTGATTTTGACATAAAAAAATATGACATGACTGGAATGATCTATGACAATGCTGCCAATGCCAGCATGGCCTGGTTGGAGGTTTGGATTGCTGATCTGATGTAGGTTGTTCACAAGAAAGGCACTGGAACAACCGCACCTTGCAATTTTGCTTGATACCACACGGAAACCAGAAGACAAATGCGAAAAATAATCGAAGGTGGGGAGTATGACTTGTTGCTGAAGATGACATTGGAGAGCAAAGGTGCATCCATTGAGAGCTTCAACATTTGGAGGCAAACACATTGGTTTCCTAAAGTGAAAGAAAGTCATTCCAAATTGGCGCAATACATGGACAATGCTGAAAGAGATGAGATACTGAGTCTGCTCCAAGTGACAGAGAGCACAGAGATTGTCTGAAATTTAGCAATCCCTAGACCGGAGGACAAGTCTGACAGCTAAATCCTCTCTTCTCTCTAACCAATTTCTAGATGAACATGTTAATTCTATGGGGAGCCTTTCTATCTGAAATGATGTGACCTGGATCCCAAAATGAGGATGTAGAGGGAGCTAAAGCTTGTCTGAAAGAGTGGCACAAAAACAACCCATTTGGATTAGGCTTCCAAATAAACCTGTCAGGTTCCAGTTCTAGTAAAATTGTTTTATGGAGAATGTTCTGGAGATCAAGCCACAAATCCAGTCAAAACGGCTCCTGTGCAGTTTAATGTCCCAAGCCCAAGTTCCATCCTTCCAAGCTCAAATTCTGAAATTTGCCAATTCTCTTGCAAGAAACTATGTATAGGCACCAACAATCCACTTTTAAATGTCAAGATGCAACCAAGAGTCATCTCAAAATTGATACTCGAACCACTTCCCACCCAAAGGTCAAAAGCCAAACTTATTTTCAAGAGCATCGCGTTATGACTTGGACTCCAAGACATGTTTTGAGTATGTATCTTTATCATTATGCTTCAGACTGCAGAACTGTGAAACAAATATTACATTGTCGACGAGGCCCTTATTGTTATTATCTGTTTAGCAGATCTATGGGATGCATCTGTACTCTATTCATCACCTTCATTTGTGTGTCATTTGAAGTGGAGAGTTCAAATATATGCAATGAATGTGTTATCTTGTTTGAAGGGCTGTTTTTATTTAGTGCTCATATAGTATGTTTGACATTTTGTGACCATCTCCTAGTTACTTACTTTTTTCTGATGTATTTAATGAATATGACTTGTAAAGGATATCATGTGTTATTCTGGTGAGTTCTTATGAATTTTGGTTATTCCTAAATAAGTTTCACTTCTGAAGAACAGGACACTAGAAATAGCTATCTTTCCTAGACTAATGCATCCACAAGGCATTTCTAGTCTACGTGGACGTGTCAAGGGGAAATAACTTCCTTTGCAAGGTGTTATCTCCTTAATATGAATATATAATGAAACCAATGACATTTGTGGAATGTCCTTTATAATATCAGAATATTTATGATAATCTCATACTCTTCAATTGTTAATTAGTGTGTTATGCTTTCTGGAATTGGAATTGATTTGTCTCTTATGGAGTCTGTTAGGTTTCTATGGAAGGGCAGACTGGTCAATCTTGTGTTGTGTTTATTAATAATCTAGTGCACTTTTTTGATTCATATTAATTACATGAGAAAATATATAATAATTGCCAAAAATAATCAGGGTCTTGTTGTATTTGTGGTGACATCTAAAAAAGTAAAAATATCTTCTTTTCTGAAATAATTTAATTATAGACATCTAATCTTTGAAAAGCTAGATGCTAGGTCTTGGTTGAGATAATCTTGCATAATATTAACAGTTTGTTTGAATAGGTTTTGTTCACAGGTTTTTCATATGGAGGCTTATCTGAACTCCAAGAAAGTGAATATTTCTCTTGCTCAATGGGTCCTACTATTGCTGGTGAAATTGGTATATTTGGTCATAGACCTTCTGTGCTGGCCGATATGCTTGCTGGTAAAAGAGCTGAAGTTGGCACAAGTCTTGGTGCTTATATGAGAAGCTTTTCTGGAGACTGCTCACCTTCAGACTTGGAAACTGCATTGCAGGTTCTTTAATTTTCCATATGCTTATGCTCATAACATTTCTGCATGTTTAAAAGTGGTATCTGTGAGTCTTAAATCCATATTTCAATAAGGTTTGTGTAATTTCTAATTTCAATAAGGATTGTGTAATTTTGGCTTTGCTTGTGGCTTTAACCCCAAATTTTAATTATTAAAATCTACTAATTTTCTTTCAAAGACATCACATGATTCAACATCCATTTTCTATTCAGAAAACCACATCCGACGACTATTTTCACTTGAAAACATCAAAACCATAGCACCAAAATAAAATAGACAATTAAAACACAAACTTTGGTTCCTACCTTTGTTTAAGAGTCGTAAGACTCTTGCAAACTTCTATTTTCTATCTTCTCCAAGGTCTAGAGATGATGTGGTTTTAATTGTATATCCAAGTTTTATCAGGGAAACTGATGCTGATAGCGATATTATAAAGTAATTCATTTTGGTTATCTTCATAGTGTTAATTTGTATTGGCATTTTGTGCCCAACTAATTTCTCTCTGCATTTGCTCTTTTCCTTACCAGCTGGTGTATCAACTCTTTGTGACAAATGTAGAAGCAGGGGAAGAAGATGTAAAAATAGTGATGCAGATGGCAGAAGAATCTGTTCGTGCTCAAGAGAGAGACCCTTATACTGCATTTTCTAACCGTGTGAGGGAGATCAATTATGGAAGTTCCTATTTTTTCAGGGTAAGCCTTCTACCTTCTAAAGCTATTGAAATTACTTTCATACATTCAAGAATAACCCAATTCTTTTCCTTCTCAGCCAATTAAAATTAACAACCTACGGAAAGTTGACCCCATCAAGGCTTGTGAATATTTTAACAATTGTTTTAAGGATCCTTCAACTTTTACTGTGGTCATTGTTGGGAATATTGAACCTGGCATTGCTTGTCCTTTGATACTACAATATTTGGTAAGTCGTATGTTTTCTCCCAAATGGTTTTTTTTGCTTAAGATAAATTTCCTCTCTGTTTACATGTTTAAATCTTTTTATTGTAGGGAGGGATCCCAAGACCTCCCAGTCCAATAATGAATTTCAAACGTGATGAACTCAAAGGCTTACCATTTACTTTTCCTTCTGCTGTCATCAGGTTGCTCAGTTTCTTTTTTTTTTATTTTTTTATTTTTATTTTTTTTCATATACGGAAATCCATGATAGGTTCACCATTGGTGATTAATGGTTTTGGGGGATTTGCTTTTAAGTTCGAAATTCACTGAATGCCTGGGAGATTGGCATCAATGAGCTCTGAAAATTATACTAATGCTGTGATAAATATGTTGTAGAGAAGTTGTGCGGAGCCCTATGGTGGAAGCCCAGTGTTCCGTCCAGCTGTGCTTTCCTGTTGAGCTTAAGAATGAGCATATGGTATTAACTTTCCTTCATTAGACCTTGTTTAAATTTAGGAGGAAATTAGGATTAACATCGCACAAGTTTTTCCTCTCATACTTACCATTTCAGATGGAAGATGTTCACTTGACTGGGTTGATGAGCAAGCTTCTGGAAACAAAGATATTGCAAGTACTCCGGTTTAAGCATGGACAGGTATTGGCATATAATTACTTATTTTATTATTATTATTATGATGATGATGTAAATACCCACTGGATATATGAGTTAATGTTTTGGAAAACTACATAATATGGCAGATTTACTCTGCTGGAGTTTCTGTGTTCCTTGGTGGCAACAAACCTTCAAGAGTCGGTAACATTCGTGGAGATATAAGTGTTAATTTTTCCTGTGATCCTGAGATATCATCCACACTGGTGAGCTTCTTCTGTTCCATTAATTTGTTCCAAGTTGGTACCTTACATGTCAAATAACTTTACAGGTCAATCTTGCCTTGGATGAAATTCTACGACTTCAAGAGGAAGGACCTTCAGACGATGATGTCTCTACCATCCTTGAAATTGAGCAGCGGGCCCATGAAAATGGATTGCAGGTGTATACTGTGAACTATGTCAAAGAACGATATTCCCTTTTTAATATTTAACTATTTGCTTTATGCAAAATGTTTATTAAACTCTTGTGTGTCCTTTCACACCTATTTGTGTTTAGAATATATATATATATGTAGATATATATTAAATGAACTTTTTTACTGATTATTCTTGTGGCATCTAGGAGAACTACTATTGGCTGGAGAGGATTCTACGAAGTTACCAATCTAGGATATATTCTGGTGATGTTGGCGCCACTTTCAAGGTTTCATCTATTTCCTTCTCTTATACCTCAAACCTCAAAAATCCTTTTTACCATTCTTTGTTTTTTGGGTATATTGTTATTTTTTCATGCTTGGATAAGGTTGAATCATAACTTGAATAGGTTTATTAGGCATGAACATCAGGGTACTTTGATTTGTTTATCGGATAATAAGCACACTGGGTAAACCACCGGTTTAACTAATAGCAAGACTTGGAGGAGGGTTTGAACCCATGATCTCATGGTCACGAGTTCACCCCCATACCATCAAGTTATCCCTTACATGGTTTTAGTTTAGCATTCCTTTTCTCCCTTTGGTATTTCTGAAATGTATTCATGTCTTGGTTTATTGATCTTTTGTTTAATCCTAATTGATTCTAAGTTTACACACTAATTTTAGTGTTGCTTCTAGGCACATCGTAACAGGCAATACAGTAGCTGAGACTCTTAGTAGACAAATGTTATGATATTCTGATGTCACTCAAGTGCTTTCTGGTTGATGCTTAGTCTGGTTCCTTGCAAATAGAATGGAATTATAGTACAGTTGCAAGTAAGAAGATGTCAGTAATTCTGAAAATTAACATCGATGATGCAGCATGTGCGTATTATGGTTATACTAATTTATACCTTGTTATATTGACCCATAAGTAAATTGACAGCTGTTTGGGTTATGAGGTGGACATGGTAGTGCAGCCTAACACCTGCTTGTCCCCAAGAAATATATCTACCATCTGACAGAGAATAATGTTGGGCTTCTTTGAATATATTTTGGAATAGTAAGTAATATGGAAAAAAAAAAAAAAAAAAAGTATTTGATGTGATATAAATGTGTTGTATGCTGCGTTTGGAATAGAAAATAGTTTAGTGATCTAATATTTTAGTAAATACATAGATTTTTTATGAGATGTCTTCTTTTTAGAAAGAGAAACGTCGATGAATATTACGAAAACAAAATTTAAAACGATTAGCTTGGCTAAGTATTTGTGGTGATTCTTGTAGATTCAAGACGAGGGGCGTAATGGAGTAAGAAATACATTGACCCCGGCAACAGCTCAGTTGGCATTGCAAAGAATCATCCCGTTCCCGTGCAAAAAGCAGTACACTGTAGTAATTCTTATGCCCCAATCATCCTGTTTAAAGAGGCTAAGATCATTCATCAACACCAGAGACCCAAAGGCACGACTATTTATATTGATTTTCTTGATTTTGATTCTTGTGAACCGTCTGACATGGTTTCTGTCGATGCAGATTTTGGTAGGCGTCGCCGGCTCAGCAATTTTGGGTTTCACACTATGGAAATACTCTCAAAGAGCAGCGTCCTCATCGGCTTCAGCTTAGATCTAGAGCACTACCTGCATAGCAAATAACCTTACTAAAAAGCTGCATAGCAACAGATAAAGAAGCTACGGTTTTGTTTCAGCAGATGCTGTTGTTATTCGACTAGGTTCATTGGTAACTCCTCCCTTCATTGTTCCGAGACAATAGCTTATGTGATATGTAAATGCTGAACTTTATTGGCTACATTGGAAGTCAGTGATTGATATGAACTATATGAGATGATTGATTAAGTTACCTACTATTATTATTAGAGATGGAACGTTTTCTGTGTCTACTATATTAGTTTCCAATATACTCATCAAATAACTTGATACAGAGAATTGCACATTGTTGGGCTTATCGTAGTGGAGGGTTGTGTTGGATGGTAACATATTAGTATAAATAATTATTATTATTATTATTTTTAATATAATTATTTATAAGTTTAAATCAAAATAATTAAATGATTTAATTAAAATAAAAAAATTATAAATTATAAAATTTTAAAAAAATAAAATGAAAATAATGGACAGCAAAAGTAATAAAATGTTACATTGTGAATCTTATAGTTACCAAAAATAAAAATTGGACTATTTTTAGGACGGACCGAAATAATAAAATATATTCACAGCAAAATTTTGTGACCGTTGAGTTGGAATTTGGATAGTAAATTTTTTTGAATTATAAAAAATAGATATTTGATTTGATATTTATAGTGAGAAATTTTTTGATGAATTATGGAAATATTACAAATCCTCCAAACAAACACACCCTAAGCAGCACCATGAAAGGCACATGGTGGAGGGGATCTTTCGACATCCTTGGTGAGACTTCCCATTCCACCGATTCCATGAGCGAAAATCTTAGCTTCTACGGGGAAGTTTTATATTATGGTAAGAAGTTGTTAAACCTAATTAACTTCGGTGTGGAAATGAGAATAACAAAGAAGAAAAGCATAAAGAAGAGAAAGCCATGTCAGAATCAATCGTTAACCCTGTAATAATGGAATAAGAAGATTAAAAATGTAGAGAAATAGAAAAAAAAATACATATATATACATTTGTCGATATAAAATATATCTAACAAACTAAATATCAAGTTTAATTAAACAAATCCTAACAAAATCATACATATTTAAATTATAAATATAAGCACCATAATCAAATTAGCACGGTGTTGATTTGACCAAATCAAAATATATAATAAAAGCATACAATATATATTTCTACATATCACAATATATGCTATGCTATATTATAAATATATTGTGTTGTATATAATATATATTGTATACTTTTATTGTACGTTCTAATGGAGTCAAATCAATAAGTTTTACTGCCTATAAATATAAATATAGATATAAATCTAACACCCTCGTTTAAGCTTGAGCGTACAAGTCATACAATTCAAGTTTGTTGCAGATTAACATGGATTTAGGACTTCTCAGAGATTTTGTTAATATGTATGCATATTGATGATATGAAGGTACATATTTGGTATTTATGGACCCAAATAAAATATTCTCCTTGATGAAGTGTCAATTTATTTCATTATGTGTTGTTTATTCAAGAAATACTAGGTTCGATGCAATGCAAAATTTTATCTGGTATCACACCATACCTCATTTCGCTACTTCATAGAACTTGAGTTCACAAAGTCATTCTTTAATTCAAAAAAGCTCACATGTATTTAAGGTCATATAACTATATTTAGCCTCGGGACTAGAATGCATGACCATATTTTATTTTTTACTTTTCCAAAATTTCAAATTACCTTTTTACCAACATAGAATAACCAAAAGTAGATGTCTATCGACCAAAGATCCTAATCAATCAACATCTGACTATCCAATAATTTTGAGTGATTGTAACTTGTATAAAGTAGACATTTTTTCGAAAAGATCCTAATCAATCAACATCTGACTATCCAATAATTTTGAGTGATTGTAACTTGTATAAAGTAGACATTTTTTCGGAAACCCGTTAATATACCACAAAATACACATAAGTGCTTTCTAATGAGAGTCATATGGAGAAAACATAAACTAAGTCAATGCACTTACTGCAAATAATATTTTTCAACTAGTGAGATAATTGAGCTTTTCAACTAGCATTCTATATTGGTCAACGTCAGTCAATCCCTCTCTGTTCAACAATTTATTTATTTGGATTTATAGGAGAATCCACTGCTTCACATTCATTCATGTTGTTTCTTCCAACATATTAAAAATATAATTTCTCTGAGATAAGATAACATTATTTGTTTTGTTAGACAATCTTAATTTACAAGAAGTACCGTAATGGTTTCAAATCTTTAGTATAGAAATAGTTGCGTAGTGCTCCTTTAATTGTGTAATACCATCAATATCATTTCCAATTATGACAATATCATCAACATAGACAATTAAGTAAACACATAGTCATCTAGAGTATGGGTAAAGATTATAATATGATAAAACAAATATTGTGTCATATGAAATTCTTGAGTAACAAGACCGAAGCATCCAAACCATGCACATGAAGACTACTTAAGCTATAGAGTGAGTGACAAAGGCGATATATAAAACCAGATTCCCTATGAGCAACAAAACTAGACGGTTGCTCTAAATACACCTCTTTTTGAAGCTTACTATGCAAAAAAACATTTTTAATGTCCTACTGACGAATGAACCAACAATACATAACCACCATTGAAAGAAAAAGACGAACATGAGATATTTTGGCAACAAGGATAAAAGATTTCTGTATAGTCTTCTCCATATATGAGCCAACTTTGACTGCATAAACACATTGAATAAGTATGGGTGTCTTTCATTGTGGCAATAAAACCAACTTCCAAGTATTGTTAGCAAGCCAAGTAGACATTTCCTCCATCATGACCTAATGTCACCCTGCAGATCCAAGGTCTCACGCCAAGAGTGTGGAACATAGATTAAATCTAAGGTAGATACAACACTATATAAGGAATGAGATAAACAATGATAACTAAGAAAACAATAAACATGATTGGGATAACGAATAGACCGAGTACCTCGAAGCAATGCAACATGTGATGGTGGAGTCATAAATATGGAAAGAGGCAGAACCGAAGCTAGTCAACAATAAACATATATGATAGTGAGGATGTATGTTCTGATGTTTCTATGTATGTCGACTATAAACTTGGAGTGAAGACTTGGAAAGAGAGGCCATTGGAATAGGAGTCATAAGTATTGTAGAGAAAGGTGATGTGGAAGATGTTATTGTGAAATATAGTGATGACTAAAATAATATGACATCTGAATTAAGGTAATATCTACGAGTAGAGGGAGAATAACATCGATAACTCTTTTGAAAACTAGAGTACCCAAGATAAACACATTTGGTTGACCAAGGATGTAACTAGAGTACCTGAGAAACACACATTTGGTTGACCAATGATGTAATTTTTCCAAACCAATGGAATGATCATGGACAAAACACATACAGTTAAGCACATGAAGATGTATAAGATATAATGACACATTAAACTAGAGACATGTAATGAAAATCTTATGACCTAGGGTAGTAGACAAAAAACAATTACTTAGATCACATGATGTAAGGATAGTATCAACCCAAAATTGAAACAAAACATTACAATGTAAAAGGAAGATATAAGTTATTTATACTAAATAACGACTCTTGCACTCAGCCACCCCATTTTGATGGGGATAGTGGAAAATACAAGATGACTGATGAATAATTCTCTGAGAAGACACAAACTCACTAAATGAGAGAAAAAAACTTCTTACCATTATCGCTCCTCAAGACTTTAATATATGTGTGATATTGTGTACGAAATTCAACAAAAAAATTGTGAATATAGTAAGTAATTTGGATCTATTTCTCATTAAATAAACTCAAGCACATCAACTAAAATCATCAATAAAATGGAAAAAATAAAAAAAATTAGATTTGACATAGAACAACAGGGACCTCAAATATTTGAGTGAACAAATGCAAAAGACTCAAATGCTCTATTATCGACGCACTTTGGAAAAATAGTACAAGTTTATTTTCCAAGCTCCCATAACTTACATGGTAACGAAGGTAGAAGAAATACGCTTTAATTTTGATAAATTGGGATGACCTAGTCATTGATAGAACAATTAAGGAAACTCAAGAAAATCAGTTGCAATAGTAAAAAATAAACAACGAGACTCATTTAGATAATATAGCCTATGAGACTTACGCATAGATAACAAACGAATTACTTGTCAATAAGATAAAATAATCTAATTTTTTAGTAATTCAAATAACATATATAAGGTTAAATAGACTTTATGAGACATAAATAACATACTCAAGAGATATATTAGGTAACAAACAAACCCTACCAATAACTTAATGATATGTTTTTATCACCATTAGCTAGAGTAATATGTGTTGGTGAGTTTGACGAATGAAAAGTAAAAGGTAAAAAGAAATTACTAGACATATGATCAGTTGTACTAGAATATAAAACCTAATAACCCAATGTAGATTGAGAAATACGATAAATAAAGTTTGGACATTAGGAAAGGTGTTTGAACTAGTGAAGAATGATTGTTCAAATGAATAGAATTGAATGAACCATTATAATGGACATGACTTATGGTAATGGAGTTAGATGACAAACATTTATTCAAATTAGTATAAACAACATTAATCGTATGAGGAGGATGCCCGTGAAGGCAATAACAACATTCTTGAATATAACATATCTTGTGACAATAAGTACACTGCAAATAAAAGTGTCTAGTATAAGTTAATTAAAAAGTCTGCCATAAGCACCAAAAGAGAAAAAGAGACCCCAATAGAAAATTTGGTGGCGGCAATGGCAACGTGTGTGGTACACGCACAACAATAGCGGTGGACAATGATGCCGTTGGACGCATAGTGAAGAGGGGAATGTGCCGGCATGGCTTGTGTCTAAAATTTCTGTTGAGAAAAAATTGAAAATCGGCCATAATAAAAAAAAGGATAAACTATTTTTTTAGTCCCGTATTTGACCCCCTTTATCATTTTAGAACTTTAAGTGAAACATGTCTGAAAATAGTATCGTAAGTAAAACTTTTTTGCTAACATGGTCCTCCGGTGCCGGACTCGCCACGTTGGCTGCCGTTGTTGACGTGGCGCTGACGCGGCTGACATGTCATCGCCACGTAGATGCCACGTCGGAGGACCATTTTAGCGAAAATATTTTACTTGCAGGACTATTTTCAGACAAAGTCCATTTAAATATCCTAAAAAAATGATAAAAGAGGTCATATACGAGACT